AGCCCTCAAGATTCCTTAGGAACATACATTTTAGGTCTATAAATTGGTAGGTTTTCTCAGTACAACATATATATGTTTTTATTTATTTTTGAGAGAGAGAGAAAGGAGAGAAATATCAATTGGCTGCCTCCTGCATGCCCCTACTGAGGATCAAGCCAGCAACCCTGACCAGGAATTAAACATGTGACCTTTTGGTACATGGGACCAAACTGAGCCACACTGGCCAGGGCCCTTTTCACATATTTAAAAGAGAATGTGGGGACTATGTATTACTTAAGGTCAATGCCTGATTTAAATATTGACTATTCATTACTTGCTTCATTTTCTAACTTCTAACCTCTCAGACTTACAATCGTTGGTGATAGTAGCCAGTGATTTCCACATGTGAAGTGGTATTTGCAATCCTCCTGATCTGTATCTCTTGGATGCTTTTTTAAAAATATGTTTGTATTAATTTTTAGAAAGAGGAAGGGAGAGGGTGAAATAAATATCAATGAGGGAGAAATATCAAAATAAATCAATTCCCTACAGGAGAATCAGCCTGCAACTGGACCATGTGCCCTGACTGGGAATCGAAACCAGTGATCTCTTGGTGCGTAGGTAGATGCTCAACCACTGAGCCACACCGGCCAGGCTGGATATTCTTATAGAAGTCTTCTCCTCTGGAAGATTGTAATTCTATTGCTAATGCAATTATATAGGCACACTGCAACAGAACTGCTTCATCACAATTCCTTGAGCCCTGGTCAGTTTGGCTTGGTGGTTGGAGTGTTGACCTGGAAACATAAGGGTCACCAGTTCGATTCCAGATTAAGAGCAGGTACCTGGGTTGCAGGTTTCATCATCCTCAGCCCTGCTGGGGATGAGTGCAGGAAACAATCAATGGATGCCTCTCTCACATCAATGTTTCTCTCTCTCACATCAATGTCTCTCTCTCTCTCTCTCTCTCTCTCTCTCTGTCCCCCTCCCTCCCTCCGTTCCTCCTTCCCTCCCTCCCTCCCTTCCACTCTCTCTAAAAATCCATGGAAAAGGATATCCTTGGGTGAGAATTAAAAAAAAAAGATAGGGTCTTGATTATTATAAAAATCATAAGATCAAATGGAACAAAGGGTCAGTAAACTGGCAGCAGAGAAATGGATTCAGTACAGAAGAAATGGAATAATCAATGACCTTGGAGATTTCAGACAAATCTGATTTTCTATTGAAGGCAGAGATATAAATAGCACAAACATAACACAGACACATAGAAACAAAAGCCACCAGCTCAACTTTTTGTCTGAAAACTTGTTAGGTCTAGAGAACTGTTCAAACCACAGCTGCTAATGGTTATGGATTTGGCAATCAAAATGTCTTTGTTTAAAAAAAAAGTTTTAACTGCCTTACTATTGAGGTTACAAACCGCAGCCTTGATGCATTGTTGCAGTTAACATCCTCCCTGCTGTTTTTGAGAGCTTACATCTGCTGCTGGCAGATAAAACGCTGGCAAACGGCATGGGCTCCTTCCAGGGGAATACAGAAGTTTTAACTAGATGGCTCTCATCTACCTCAGTCCCCTGAGTTGAGCCTACAGTGCTTTCTGTAGCACTCCTACCTTGTCTGGGTTGATCCCCTGCTACTACTTAAGAGGGTTGAAGGTCTAGTGGGATTTTTTTTCTGGTACAAATCAGCCATGCCAACCATACTATTCTTAGAAGATAAAAGGGAAGATGAATTCTTAGCTCAGGGGAAAGCACCTTTAGCACATATTTTAAAGCCACTTCTAGTGTAGTGCACTTGATTTTTAACAATCACTAATAAAACCTTTCTATTTTTTTAAAAAACTAAATGATCACACTATGCTGAAAATATTGAGGGCTTAATATATTTTAACTAATCAAAGAAAGGCCAAGAATTTGAGGTCAGGAAGTAAGTTACAGAGTTTCTTTGGGGAAAAGAAAAGTTAGGAACAAGATGGGGAAGTAAAATGTGGGCCAAGTCACATAGGAGATTAGTTTCAGTTGAAATAAAATGAGTATATCCACACGGGTTTTCAAAGAAAATGCAATTTAGCTGAGTGATGAGAAATGAGTGCGGAAATGCAGAAAGAAGACTTAAGTCAGGAAAGTGTCTCGTGGGTGATTCTCCCCCAGAGAGCTGATCTATGAGGATGACAGAAAACTAAACATACCCAGACTAGTACTTCCAAAACTTACAGACCACAAGATACCAGTTCTGAATATGCAAATAGGGTGTGTTTGGGGGGAGGAGGAGAAGGGGCAGAGATGTGGTCAAAAAGTTTTGTGAACACTGCAAGTTATATCTACCAGATATATCAGAGAGTCATAATACACACTAGCATATTAAGGGCTCTGAAAAGTTTTTCAGTAAATAAATTTATTTAATCCAAATACATTTTCCAAATGTATATGCTCATGGAAACCTCACAATCCCCCTACCCCCGCAATTTTTCAGAGAACACCTATGACATGGAATAGTTGGTGAAATGCTAGTATATGGGCCGAAACCAGTTTGGCTCAGCGGTAGAGTGTCAGTCTGCGAACTGAAAGGTCCCAGGTTCGATTCTGGTCAAGGGCATGTACGTTGGTTGCGGGCACATCCCCAGTAGGGGGTGTGCAAGAGGCAGCTAGTCGATGTTTCTCATCAACATTTCTAACTCTCCCTTCCTCTCTGTAAAAAATCAATAAAATAAAATAAAAAAATAAAAAAGAAATGCTAGTATATGGTTATTATTCCTAAACCCACAATTCATTCTTGCAGAAATGAGAATAAGGTTGGTAAAACAGACGAGGCAATTACATTTCGTACATCATAGAATCCTAGCTCACAGACAGACAGACAGGTAGGTTACCAATGGTGTTTGAGACATTTTCCAAAAGCAGCCAAATATCAAAGCTACAACTTTAAAAGCTGTAAGATCCTTATTTGATAAACAATCATCAAATAGGGCTGATACCAATTCTGAATACATTCATGTGCTACCTTCAAACACAGAATAAAAACAATAGGGAAAAGCCACAGAAAATCTATCCATAGGAAAAATAAGCATGGGATTATTGTGTTTAATGAAGCTTAGAGGCTTCTGGGATTTTGAGGTATTCTAATGTCATACGTTAGGGAAATTCATAAGGAGAGTTGCCATGACCTCCAGCTAGAAACATATGAAAGGATTCCTACACTTCTTTTTTTTTTTTTTTTAACATATATTTTATTGATTTTGTACAGAGAGGAAGGGAGAGTTAGAAACATAAATGAGAGAGAGTCATCCATCAGCTGCCTCCTGCACACCCCCTACTGGGAATATGCCCGCAACCAAGGTACATGCCCTTGACCGGAATTGAACCCGGGACCTTTCAGTCCCCAAGCTGACGCTCTATCCATTGAGCCAAACCGGTTTCGGCGGATTCCTACACTTCTATAAGCTACCTTCAGCATTCTTAGTATAAAAGACAGAATAGGAAGCGTATTATGCTACCCTGAAAGACAGGTAACCTGGAGAAATCAAAACAATGTTTTGTTAATTAGATTTCTAATTCCATAGACTAGGATTATAGTTTCCCAACCTTTTCTTCACAAATTGTGGCAAAGTAAGATTGGCTACAAATCATTTGATCTTGTATCAGGTGGTGGTTTGCTTGATTGGCAAATGAGAAAGTAAAGGTAGGTTCCTAGCCAAACCACCGCCCACACTATCAGAGGCTCCTGGTTATTTTTGTTAGAATGCAAATAACCTAAGAAGAAAAGTTATACTAAGCTGTTAATGACTGTGAGTCTCTAAAATTGTAAACCCTACACCAATATAAAGAATTCTTACATTATTTCTAAACTGGAAAAAAAAAAAAAAAAGGATAGAATAAAAAATGACACTGAAAAACCGGGCAAAGGGCCCATTAGATGGATAGGACAGGCGCAGTGTGTGGAAAATGAAGAGCCTCCACAGGTCTGTGGTTTTGTGCAGATCTAGATCAGTGCTAAGAGCAGGACAAAAAAAGGCCAGGAGTAAACACTCATGCCAAATTACATGCATTGTATTCACATACATAAAGCAATCAGAGAAGGGCTGAGGAGACGATCCACAAGAAAATGAAAGGCAGAAAACCAGAGATAACTATCGGCTAAAATATGTGAAAAAAGGATAGAGAAGTTGATATAAGAATAATGTTTTTCAAAAATGCAGACAGTTATAACACTAGTGAAAGGCAAATAAGTCTGGAAAGCAAAGAATTTACTGAGAAAAACTAAGCTGAAGAACACTTTATTAAGCACCGTGGTAGAAGCCCTACTGCTTAAAGTAACCATTTAAAGCACAGGTAACCCATATGATAGTGAAAACTCTTCATGCTTCGGGGATGATCCTTCTGGTTTTGGATTCCTCTAGTCTGAATCTAAACACAAAGCTCTAAATTTCAAGTTTTCCAATTAAGCTAAAGTCCTTTGGCTCCCTCTGCTGTTCAAAACTGTACTTTAGTTATGTCAGTTCAATCTTTAAATGATCAAAATAAATAAAAATACACACATATGTACACATGCACAACAAACGTGGCGAAGTCCATGGCAATCAGAGTTCAAACATTTGTTTATTATGAATTCTCTGGCTCAGACCAAATGTTACAGAATAAATAATAACAAATTCTATTATTCCCACCTCCTAACTGAAATAATTCAAGGGATAATGGAAGCTTTATTCACCAAAAGCAGCGAACTTTTACTAAGGGATGAGAATCCTATATGTGTTATCTGGATTGTGGCAAAAGCTTTTTATGCAGAAATGTATATGTACCTATTCTCCATATATCAGGAATCAAAGCAATACTATACCATACTTTTCCTGTTTTTCCTTGGTCTTTTCTCTCCCTAATCTCTCCTAAATAAGTCTCTCTTCACATGTTTAAATTCAGTTGCTAGCACCTTACTATCTTTAGGATATCCTGTGTTGAAGGATCTATAAAGGTCAGTTATAGTGTCGAAGCAAGCATCTGTCCAAGAGAAGTATTCTTACTCACCTGATCCTTAAATTGATTCTGGGACAAGCAGTCAATTAGGTCCACACAGCCCAGAAGACAACCTGATGGATAGTCACTGGGAAATTCCACATCTGAATAAAGAATAAAGAATGATTAAATTTCCTTTTTTGTAACCATGGAACTCATGAATCTGTTTTCAATTCTGAATAAGTCATTTTCTTTATTATCTATATGTAGACATAAGGAAAACAATGAGGTTTTTATTTGGCTCAACTACTGATACTTTAGCAAAAAAATGTGAGTGGCCGGTTTAGTCCACTCTCCACATCTTAAGCTATAGGAAAATTATCTGCACACCATCTAAGTTCTAAGACCCCACAATTTCACTTCAAACAAATAAATTCCACTACACTCATCTGGATCAGACTAGAGTTTGGTGATGATGGGTTTTGGAAACAAGCTACAGGTATCAAGTAAAAAACCATAAATTTTTTTTAAAATTAAGAATGTCGGAACACACAAATTTAAAACAAGCCAGTTATATCAGTCAAAACAGAAATACATTTTTATAGAAACATGTACTTTTGATTCTGAAACCAAAACAAAGCTTGGTTTCGTGTGTGTGTGTGTGTGTGTGTGTGTGTTCATATATATATGAACATACATATGTATATATATATTTTTTTAAATATATTTTATTGATTTTGTACAGAGAGGAAGGGAGAGAGATAGAGAGTTAGAAACATCGATGAGAGTCATTGATCAGCTGCCTCTTGCACACCCCCTACTGGGGATATGCCCACAACCAAGGTACATGCCCTCGACAGGAATCGAACCCGGGACCTTTCAGTCCCCAAGTCAACGCTCTATCCATTGAGCCAAACCGGTTTCAGCATACATATGTATATTTTAGTGGCCCGTTGCAAGAAGACTCGTGCATTAGGCCTTCCTTCCCCTGGCTGCCAGCACCGGTTTTCCTCCGGCACCCAGGACCCAAGCCTTCACTCTGGCTGCCACCTTCAGCCTTTGCTCCAGCCAGAGTGCTGCTCCTGTAGCTCCCGCTGCCCCCTGCCCTTCCCATCATAGCAGGCATCCCGCCCCACCTAGCTATTACACGCCTGCATGCATGCTGCCCAGAGGCCCTGAGCAGTTGGAGGGGGAGCCACCACCTTCTCTGTTGGGTTAATTTGCATACTCAGTCCTGACTGGCTGGTGGGCATCGTGAAGTAATGGTCAATTTGCATATTTTTTTTTTTTTTAATTTTATTTCAAAGAGGAAGGGAGAGGGAGAGAGATATAGAAACATCAATGATGAGAAAAAGTCATTGATCGGCTGCCTCCTCCCCCACTGGGATCAAGCCTACAACCCAGGCATGTACTCTTAACTGAAATCTAACCCGGGACCCTTCAGACCTCAGACCAAGGCTCTATCCACAGAGCTTGAATTTTAAAAAACTTTTATAGGTGTTGCCCTGGTCAGTGTGGCTCAGTTGGTTGGGTGCTGTCTGTGCACTGAAAAGATTGCCGGCTCAATCCCTGGTGGGGATATATAGGAAGCAGCTGATGAATATTGCTCTCACATCAATATTTCTCTTTCTCCCCTTCTCCCTCTCTCTCTCTAAAAATAAATAAAAAATATTTAAAAACAAATAAATAAAAAACTTTTTATAGGTGTGTAATTATCCTCTCATTCTATCTTAAAAAGAACTGTATGATCTGAATAAAAGGAAGGAAAAGAAGAAACCCAAGGGTCAGAAGTGTATTTTAAGATCCAAATTTAGTGTGCTGAGGGTGATTGCCAAAATACACTGGTTAAGTCAACCAACCCTGATATGTCCAAATCCAATAGCAAATTGGGTCACTACCAATAAAAATTCTTATTTGTGAATCTTCCCAATCTAAAGATCCCAGAGGGTTTTTTTGTTGTTGTTGTTGTTGTTTTTAAAAAACATATTTTATTGATTTTTACAAAGAGAAAGGGAGAGTGATAGAGAGTTAGAAACATCAATGAGAGAGAATCATTAATCAGTTGCCTCTTGCACACCCCCCACTGGGGATGTGCCCGCAACCAAGGTACATACCCTTGACCAGAATCTAACCTGGGACCTTTCAGTCCGCAGGCTGACGCTCTATCCACTGAGCCAAACCGGTTTCGGCAGATCCCAGAGTTTATAGCAGTCATTTACTATCATAGTAAATATACTATGGATAAAATTTTCTCAGATAAAACTAAGATTGCCCTGGCCAGTGTGGTTCAGTTGGACTGTCAACACATGCATCAAAAGGTTTCGGGTTTGATTCCTGGTCAGGGAAAATACCCAGGTTTCAGGTTATCGATAGATCCCCTGTCAGGGTGTGTAAAGGAGGCAGCCAATTAGTGTTTCTCTCTCAAGTGGGTATTTCCCTTCTCTCTTTCCCTTCCTCTCTCTCTGGAATCAATGAAAACATATCCTCAGGTGAGGACTAAAAACAAACAAAACAAAGTTTTTATTGATAACTAAAGTTTTTGTGGCACTATTTGACAAATTAATGCTTTCAACAGCTATCTATGACCTGTCACTAAACAAGCTAATACACAAAGTTTAAAGTCACTTTTATACTTTCAACCAAAAAAAAAAAAAAAAAAAAAAAAAAAAAAAAAAAATGGGAAGAAGGAAGTGAAAGTCAATGACTTCTCTCAATAAGGTAAGACTCAAAGGAGAATATATGGTTGTTACCTTTCCCACGAAGAAAACGATATGTAGTCTGGAGTTCTGAGACTTCTTGAGGGGAGGGTCTTTTGGCTGTGGCTGCTATCCAAAGTCGTCCTCTGTGAGGGGTGTACCAACTTCTGCCCTCCACCCTTAAACAAGTATAAATTTATTAGGAAGAATATAAATTCTAGTGTCCTAGAGGATCTCATAATATGCAATAAATTGTCCAGTTGAACAAAGAGATCTGTGGATGATACCTCAGCAAGAGGAGTATTTTTTGTGAAAAATAATTCTCCCACAATACTCTTCACTTGAGTATGAATTGTGTTCCCTTTTTCCAGTTATTCCTATTATCAGAACAAGGACAATTCACCTCTCTCAGCTTCTATTTTTTAAAATATGATCTCTATAACTCAGACTTGGGGCTTTCATTAACCTTGGGACTTTTATAATCCAAATCTTCTATTTTCAAAGTATCCAAGTTTCGTACAAAAATGGAAATCTGTGTCTTTCTTTGAGTCAAAGACTAACCTTTTCCCTGAAATATTTAATTGTTCTCTAACCTGACAGAAAAATTCTCATCCACATATATCTCCTAAAGAATAGTTACTTTTATAATTGTTATTTAATAGGATTTAAGTAAATAAAGATGTTTATAATCTTTATTCTTTAAATTGCCACCACATTCATTTATATTTTCCAAGTATTTTATAAAAGGTTATGTTCTTTGCAGGTAATTAAATAACCTGTCACTAGTTTGAATCTTTAAATGGAATAACAGAATGCATTCCAGAGAATTTCATTACTTCAAGGATTACAAAAAGATGTTTCTCTTTTAATTCACACCAATATAATAAAGTACCTAGATGATAAACCCCTGTGATACTATTCTTAGAAGGGAAAAAGGGATGTCCTCATATCCTTAGTTTTCCAATGTAGATGAATTGGAAGACTGCTGGGCACAAAATAAGTACTCAGTAAATGAGGAATAAGTCAATATATTTTTTCCTTCTATACCAAATAATCTGGGGAAATGATCTCACAAGTATAGCAAAACCACCCACTTTATTTCTGTGGGATTAGTGATTGTGGGTTGGATGCTGCTCATCCTGTTCTTTGCAGTGAGAAAATCTGAATAAACAGATCCAAAATAGGATAAGAGAAATATAAACATTCTGATTTCCTCAGCAGAGAACAAGCTGTCTAGTTTTCTACTTTAAAAAGGGAAGGCACCTAATTGCAGAGAACGAATGAGGAAACAGACACCTGCAGGCCTGGTGCCTGGAGCAGCAGCAGAGTCCTACACACCTGCTCTAACAGCACAACACACCTGGCCTCTGACGCAGATAGACAAAGCAGGAAAGCCTCACCTTCAAGAGGGAAAACGGTAATGCAACTTAATGAAGGAGGGAAATCACAACTAATCATGAAAACACCAAAGCACTAATGATTGTTCCTAAATTTTGATAACAAGTTTTCTTTCAGGAAAGTATTGTAGTAAACCTAATCTCTAGTTCCATTCCTGCCACTGGTAACTAACTTCAGAAATCAAAGCAAGCTACTTTACTTTTGCCTACCTAAATGCCCTCATTTGTCCAAGACTGTAATAATACCCAGTCTATTTAATAAAGCTACCTCTTTGAAAATGGTAAAAATGTTATTTAAATACAAAGTATTATCCCGTTATGAGTTAGGACACTGCCAGGCATATTAAAATTCTGATAAATAAGAAGGAAGAAAGTGATATCTGTACTCCCATATTCACTGCAGAATTATTCACAATAGCCAGACATGGATTGATGAATGAATGGATAAAGAAGATATGATATATATGTTTATATACATAATGCTATATTATTCACAACCATAAAAATGAAGAATAGCCTGACATTTGCAACAACACAGATAGACATTGAAGGCATTTTGCCAAGTGAAATAAGTTAGAAAAAGACAAATATTATATGATCGCACTTATATGGAGAATGTGAAAAAATCAAACTCATAGACACAGAAAACAGATTGGTGGTTGCCAGAAGGAAATGCGGGAAGTAGTTAAAAGTTACAAACTTCAAGCTATAAGTAACTTCTGGGATATAATGTACAAAATGGTGACTATAGTTAAAAATATTTTATTATATATATTTGAAAGCTGCTAAGAGAATAGTTCTTAAAAGTTGCCATCATGAAAACAAAACAAAAAAATGTGTAACTGTGTGGTGATGGATGTTAACTAAACTATCAATAATTGCGACAATCATTTTGTGATATATACATGTATATCAAATCATTATGTTGTATACCTTAAACAAATACAATATTGTTGTATGTCAATTTTATCTTTTTGTAACATTTTTATTGATTTTCTTTTCTTTTTTTTTAGAAAGAGAGGTAGAGAGAGAGAGAGAGAAACATTGATGAGAAAGCACCATTGATCAGGTGTTTCCTACACGTCCCCTGCTGGGGTTCAAGCTTGCAACCTGAGAATGTGCCCTGACTGGAAATCAAACCAACTGAATCATACCAGCCAGGGCAAATGTCAATTTTATCTTAATAAAATTGGATAAAAAAGGAAAAATAAATGTTGTATTGAAAAGTGAAAGAAGAAAAACACAAACATAAATGCATATGATGACCTCACTATATAACAATTTGCATAGGAAAAAGAATATGAACATTCCAAAGTGCTAACAGTAGCTGTTTCTAGGTGATGGGATTACAGGTGATCTTTCTTTTTCTAGCTACTTTTCTGTATTTTCCAATTTTCTATTTACATTTATAAAAGAAAAATACCAAACTATTTTTAAAAATTTAATTGAGAAGAAACATATGAAACCATAGAATTATAAGCTATTACTATCACCATTAACAGGTACAACAACTCCACTCTATTATACCTCTACAATATTCCTCATTACTCCTCCCACTTTTTGTAGGAAAGGAATTTGTGGTAAAATAGTTTCTCAATATGGTTACTCAGATAGACAGATAGATTAGCTAAATAGACAGATAGTCAAATGAATGAAAGAAAAACAAAAGCAAATAGGTTAAGGTCTTAAATTAATAAATATTAAAAACCTTGAATTTCAAATAGGATTAAACCATTAAAAAGTTGAGTGTCTTATTACAAAGGCAGCACCAAGAGAAGTTTTATCAATAGATTTCCTACAAATATTAAAAAAACTGGTATTCTATTGTTTGTTATGACTAAAATCCTTAGCCATTTAACCTCCGTTTTTTAAAGCTATGCAGTAAAAAAGAAAAGAAAAAAACTATTATCAAGTCAGTAACATTAATATATTGCTTAAAGTTTTATGTACTAAAGAATATTATAAATCATCACTAGGTTGGGGAAAATAAATTCTAATCCATAACTCTAAATCAACTTGATGTCACTGTAAAATCTCTCACTGTCAAGATTCACTTCTGTTCTTACCTTTTAATCCCTCTGACAAGCAAAGAAGCCCAGGGCTGATGCATAGAGAGGCACCAGCCACCATCAAAGCCTTCCTGAAATTCTTCATCCTGGATTCGCAACTGGTGCCGATATGATCCTGATCCTGCTGAATGGAAAGCCTTCTTCTGTGTGGCTGCAGCTGTCTGCTCTATCCACTAAACAGGGGGGTAAAACAACATACAGTTCTGAAAAGGAAAGTACCTGGAGTAGGTCTAAAAAATGAGATGAATACTAATAATGAAATCATAGTGGGAACATATTTTTAGAAAAATTTATCTGTCTTTGAAACAAAGACAAAAGAGCTGGAGAAGATACAAATTCAGTGGAAACCCAGGTATGATAACAAGGTTCAATCTCAGAGGCTAATTAGAATGTTGAAATCTCCACACAAAGCTTTATAATTCTAGCAACAGTACAACTATCACACCAAATAACTGGTCTGTAATTATTTCCATTTTATACTTAATAATACATTATGTTTCCCAAAATAAATATTTCAGCCCAATGAAGATTTAATGTTTTGATCTGTACATTCTTCATGTGCTGAGGGGCAGAATCACATGCTGGTACCATGATAAAGCCAAACATATATTGTCAGGAGCAGTAGTTCTGACTACTGGATGCAAGAAGTACTATTCTCTTAACCTGAATTAAACAACTTGCCTCTAAAGGAGAGAACGGAGCACTACAGAAACGAGGCTTCCATCATGTAAAGAGTATAGAAATTATATGTTACAGGTAATTACAGGAGATTGTAGAGTCCTGATATAAGTTTAGTCAGAGAATGACAAAGGTTAGTGTTTCTTCCATTAAGAACAAAAAGACTGAGTGCTACAAAATGTAAGGGGGGGGGGGGTTTAGGGGCTTTATTAGGATGGTGAGGTTAGATTAGTTGTCTTGATTTTTTTACTTTTTACTTAGTAATTTATAGATGGGAAAAAATGCTAGAGTGGTAGTCCAGAAACTCTAAGCAATCATTTAACCCCTAAAGGTTTCACTTTTCTATAACGTAAAAAATTGGGGTTGAACTAAATAAATCTCTAAGAATCTTTCTGCAATAAAATATAAGTCCAATCCACTTTGTATATTTAAAAAAACAACCCACAGAAGCATTCAAGTGTTTAATTATAAGAAAAGGCATAAAGCAGCAACATATAAAATATAAAAAAGATTATGGTTCTTGCATTCAAGAAAGTTACAATCCTAATAGAAGACAGACACGTAAATAACTATCCAAAATATAAGGCAGAGAGATGCAAATCAAAACAACGAGGTACCATCTCACACCTGTCAGAATGGCTATCATCAACAAATTAACAAATGACAAGTGCTGGTGAGAATGTGGAGAAAAAGGAACCCTCGTGCACTGCTGGTGGGAATGCAGACTGGTGCAGGCACTGTGGAGAACAGTATGGAGTTTCCTCAAAAAAACTAAAAATGGAACTATTTGATCCAGTGATCCCACTGCTAGGAATATATCCCAAGAAACTAGAAACACCAATCAGAAAGGATACATGCACCCCTATGTTCATAGCAGCACAATTTACATTTGTAAATAGCCTAAGTGCCCATCAGCAGATGAGTGGGTTAAAAAATGTGGTACATTTACTAATGGAATACTATGCTGCTGTAAAAAAAGAAGAAATTCTTACCATTTGAAATAGCATGGATGAAACTGGAGGACATTATGCTAAGCGAAATAAGCCAGTCAGAGAAAAATAAGTATCATATGATCTCACTCATTTGTGGAATATAATGAACAACATAAGCTGACGAACAAAAACAGATCCAGAGATAGAGAAGCATTGATCAGACCATCAAACCTCAGAGGGAAGATAGGGGAAGGTGGCGTGAGGGGGAGAGATCAACCAAAAGATTTGTATACATGCATATAAGCCTAACCAATCGACACAGACACCAGTGGGGTGAGGGCATGACTGAGGGGTGGGGGAGCAATAGGAGAAAAGGACACATATGTAATACCGTAATCAATAAAGAAAAAGAAAAAAAAATACACACCAAAATCTACAAAACCCCCCAAACATATAACATATAAAGCAGAATTGAGTAAATATTACACAGGGATATAAACTCTTCAGTAGGAACACAAAGGAAGAACTGATCCATTATAGGGGAAATAAGTAAATTTCATACTTATGTTAATATCTGAACAATTCTGAGGCCCATATTCTCTGTTCTACTCTATCACAGTTCTTGTTTATATTACTTGTTTCTCTATTCTCACATTTTGTTAAATTAATCTTTTTTTAAATATATATTTTATTGTTTTACAGAGAGGAAGGGAGAGGGATAGAGTTAGAAACATCGATGAGAGAGAAACATCCATCAGCTGCCTCTTGCACAGCTGGGGATGTGCCCGCACCAAGGTACATGCCTTGACCGGAATCGAACCTGGGACCCTTCAATCTGCAGGCCGATGCTCTATCCAGTGAGCCAAACTAGTCAGGGCAAATTAATCTCTTATTACCTTTCGATAACTGAGCCCTGTTAAGTGGTCTTATCTACCATTTTAGCTTTTAAGAAGCTGTCTACTGCCCTCCTGGTGCTACAATATTAATTTAGGCCCTCAGAATCTCCCCATTGCTACTGCAAGAACCTTTTTAGCTATTTCCCTGCTTCTAGTCTTACTCCTCCCTCCAATCCATTCTTTACATTAGGGGTGTCGAACTCAATCAGAGAAGGGGCCAAAATCTAAAATCCAGCCTAAATCGCGGGCCGAATGGTTTACTGAACAGTCAAAAACTGTCATTGTGATGGAAACGCAGCGGAGTGCAGTGATGACAGTGCGGTGCGGGCCACATTGCAAGGCCTGGCGGGACGGATTTGGCCCGCGGGCCTTGTGTTTGACACATGTGCTCTACATGGAAGTCAAGTCAATCATCAGCTAAAATCCGTCATGGGCTCTTCTTTGTCTACTTTAGAATAAAACCAAACTCCTTAGCATGAGACATAAAGGCTTTCACAATGAGATGCTGCCTACTGTACTGGCTTAAGTAGTATCCCCTCCAAATTTACGTCCACTAGAACTTCACTTGGAAATAGAATCTCTGTAGATGTGAATGAGTTAAGATCATACTGGATTAGGGTGGACCCCAAATCTAATGACTGGTGCCTTTATAAAAGGGGAGAACACACAAAGACAAAGACACACAGGTGGCAAGCTCTTCCTCCAGGGAGCATACCCTTAACTTTTCTCTGCCCCTCCCTTTCTCCTTCCCCCCACAGGTAATTTCCGAACTCTAGGCTCTCCGGCAGCAGGGTCACCTAAGACCATCGGAAAACACAGATATTTACATTACGATTCATAACAGTAGCAAAATTACAGTTATGAAGTAGCAATGAAAATAATTTTATGGTTGGGGGTCACCACAACATGAGGAACTGTATTAAAGGGTCACGGCATTAGAAAGATTGAGAATCACTGCTTTAGAGGGAGTATGGCACTGCTAATACCTTGACTTCAATGTTGAGAACTGAGAGAGAATAAATTTCTTAAGCCAACCAATTGTGTTGCTTTGTCATGGCTGCCTTAGGAAACTAATACATCTATTAGTCCATTTTAACTTCAAACAATACTTAATGCTGAAACCGGTTTGGCTCAGTGGATAGAGCGTTGGCCTGCAGACTGAAAGGTCCCAGGTTCAATTCCGGTCAAGGGCATGTACCTTGGTTGCAGGCACATCCCCAGTAGGGGGTGTGCAAGAGGCAGCTGATTGATGATTCTCTCTCATCGATGTTTCTAACTCTCTATCCCTCTCTCTTCCTCTCTGTAAAAAATCAATAAAATATATTTTTTTTAAAATACTTAATTACTGTGGTTCTCCAAAGCTCTCAAACTGTTGAGCCTCTATATATGCTGTATCTTCTACCTGGAATTCCCTTCCTAGATCTGTCTGCTTCAAAATTCCTATTTATCCCTTATGTCTTCTCTTAAACACCATTTCTTTTGTGACTCCTTAGATGGGCTTATGAATGCTCTCTTAAAGTCCTATTGTACCTATGACATGTGTCTATCATAGCATTTACCTTAATTAATGGTAATCATTTGTATCCAAATACATCTTCCGACTAAATTTAAAGTCCTTAAGGACTGGAGTTAGGCCTTTATCTTTTAATTTCCCAGCACTCAGCCAAAAAACCTAGCACATATACAGAACTGATGAACAAATATTTCCAGTTAAGCTGTCTGCAGCACTGCTTTGATTGCAACTCTCTGTTTGAGAACCTTCTATGGCTCACATTAATTTACAAAATAAAAATGTGAAAACCTCCTAGGTGAACATTTAAGCTCTGGTTCTACCTACCTAACCCTATTCTATTTCTCATGATAATGCCTTTTATGAGTACTATCTAGGTTGCTTAAATTCAGTATTCCCATATATACACTGAGTGGCCAGATGATTATGATCTCAGAATGCATAATAATTTGGCCACTCAGTGTATATTCTATATAATAAAAGGCTAATATGCAAATTGTCCTCTCGACCAGGAGTTCGACCAGCAGGCAGGCCGGCCAACTGCCCATGTCCCCTCCCCCTGGCCAGGATGGCCAGACCCCACCCATGCATGAATTCATGCACCGGGTCTACACACACACACACACACACACACACACACACACAGGCCAGATTATTATGCATTCAGAGATCTTAATAATCTGGCCACTCAGTGTATATCTCTCATGATCTTGTGTACCCATGGCTTATTCTGATAGTTCATTCTGCCTAGAATGTTTTTCCCATCATTCCCAAACATCCATTTTCTTGGACATTTACTTGTAATGAATGACAGCTTCCCTATAAAAAGCCTCTTTTAATCCCCTGAACTGGAAGTAGTCTTTCCCTCCTCTGGATTTCCACTGTACTTTATTTATATCTTCATTAGTCTTAAAGTTGCATATATAATCTTTTCCCCTATTTGTCTATGAGTTCTTTAAAGACAGAATGCTTAATATGCTTGTACAAAACAGATGCTCAATGTACTTGACAGAAAAATGACGACAATGAATATGTGAATTAATGTATTAATTTAAAACATCACTCTATTGGACTACCCATATTCTATAAAATATACCGGGGGGAGGGGTGGGGAACACTAACAAGAGGACCAAGGAATTATCTAAATCTTTATAGTACTTATCAAACCCTTTCTTTGGAAATACTCAGAAGATAATATAGTCAACTTGTCAGAAGTGCTGCAAAAAGACTGGAATGAATTGAACCAGAGAATAAGGTTGGTGGGTATGTTAAGAAAGCAGATTGGGATTTAAAGTCTATTGAAGAGGCACACTTGAAAGGAGAAATGTCTGGGCCCAAACTTCTCTCATTATCAGTTAGAGCAAATATCCACTAACCTGGGGAGGGGACTGGTACAGGTTCGGATTCACCAGAATTCCCAAAGGCTCTTCAGAAGATTTATCCAATTTGTTCAGTGACTGGTTCAAGGTTCCACTGGCAATAGCCTGTATTGTCTCATCTAGTCTGTGATAACAAACCAAAGGTTGCAATAATTCTATGTTCAGTAATACCACAAAACAAACAAACCAAAAAACCCTTCTACAGTAATAATTTTACAATTCAAAGAGGGGTTCATAGATAACTGCCTTCCCGCACCCAAATTTCCTTCTCTTTCCTCCCACACCCCAAAGGATTATGAGTTAGTAAAAGTTCCAGAATGCTAAGAAAATAGGTAGAGCCCACTATAATCATTTATCTGTCTAACCAGGTTATTAAAAATGCAAGGATTAGAAAAGTTGACTAGAAAAAAATCTGACGCACAGAAGAGTATTCTATGGCAGCCTATTTACTCAACACATTCAATTACTCCTCTGCTCACTCAGGAGTCCCTCTCTCCATTCCTCCTTGATGATATGAATTCTAGCCTTGCTTCAAGGCCCAGAAGTTCTAAGGAGGCCCTCTACTGGCCTCACACAAAAGTGCTTCCCTTCTCTGAAGAGCTGTAGCATCTACTATTTAGTCATTTTATACATCCTATGGGTGTTTGCTATGGCTATTTGGCTCTATATGACAATGTTCATTGGTGGAACTAATTCTATTGGATAATAAGAGATCATAGGTCCTGCAGGAACTGTATCTTATTCTACTCTATACATTACTTGCTGCTTTACTCCATGCCCGATGGATGTTTGACAAATGTGGAGGATGATGATTCTGAGACACAATGTAATGAAAAGCTTCTACCAGTAAGAAAGACTGAGCCTGACTTTGAATACAATTAAAAAGTTACTTGTTAGGAATCTGTTACATGGAAGGCAACTTAAAAGGTGTAGAAGACATGGTTCCTCCTTCAAGAAAGCTTTGAGTCTACGTGGCAAGTTTAAGACAGCTATAAAGATGATGAACAAAACATGAGAGGATGTAATTAATACTATGATGTAAAATCCATTTGGTCATTATAATCCTATCATCCTATGTGCTGTACAAAGCAGGTTCAAGAGAGAGAAGTAGACATTTGAAAGGCAAAAATTGGGGGAGGAATTTCCCAACAAAGGGAAAAGTGAAAACAAAGGCATGAAGCTTAAAACAGTACAAGAATTTGAAGGAAGAGATGAGTCTAAAATAAGGCAGGGACAGTAGGATTTGAAGAAGATAAATAGATTTAAGACATAGTACAGTGGTAAGTGTATCTAGAACCCCATAATGTATAAAAGAAATAATACAAATAGCTAATGAATACATTTTTAGAATGTTCAAAATGTGAATAAAAAGTATGATGAAATGCCATTTTTCATGTGTCAGAATGACAATTTTTTTAAATTTATTTTTTATAGCAGTTCATTTTTAAATTTTTCTTAGCTACTCTTACATGTTTCTATTCCAAATGAATATATTATTTTTTTTTAATCAACAAAAATAACAGATCCATAAGATGGGGTAAATCTTTTATAATCAAACCATCCCCTTCGTTCAGACCTTTTCTGCTGCTATCCACTTACTTGCTATGATATTCGGCTAGTGGATTTTCATCTTCCACGATCTTTCTGCCTGCAAAGTCAATGGTGATCTTCTTAGAAAGCCGAGAGGCATGTCGAAATTCTCTCAGCTCCTCCTCTCGCTTCTGCAAAGTTTCCCGCTCAATTTTGGATAACCACTGGTTAGAATCACTGGCAAAGTAATCTGACTCATCATCAATTACTTGGGTCCTTCGAATACTAAGAAAAAGAAAAACAACAACACATGGTAATTAGGTCACCTATTGACAAATAGGAACTTGATTACTGGGAAACTGCTTCCTTCAAGGTAACTCACTCTTATGCTGTCCTAAAGGTTATTATCTCAAATATGGAGGTCCAAGAATGTTCTAAAACCAGGTCAAGCTCTGCCTGGTTCCTAGCTTCTGCATATTAATTATCTCCACTGCAAGCTTAGCTCAGCTTCTAAAACTAACCTCGTCAGGCAGGAAAAGACACAACACCATAATCCACTCTCCTTCTAGCCTTCTTAATACAGTACTTTAGTACTCATCTTCTGAAATCTGCGCTTCTGCCTGGTTTTGTTGCAGCTGAGTTCATGTCTTGGCAACTTACTTAATGATAGTCCCTCCATAACTGGACTTAGTCTATTCTTGTTAGGCCCTACCGCTACCCTTTCCCTTAGAATAGGGGTGTCGAACTCAATCAGAGAAGGGGCCAAAATCTAAAATCCAGCCTAAATCGCGGGCCGAATGGTTTACTGAACAGTCATAAACTGTCATTGTGATGGAAACGCAGCGGAGTGCAGTGATGACAGCGCGGGGCGGGCCACATTGCAAGGCCTGGCGGGACGGATTTGGCCCGCGGGCCTTGTGTTTGATACATGTGCCTTAGAAACTGATGTTCTTAGGACACTTACTACTCTACTATTATACATCAGTTCCCCTTCCCCAAATCTCCAGTCCCTCACTACTATACTGGCCAAGTTCTGAATATGATAACCAGGCCTCTTTCTAACAAAGAAATGAGAACTAGAAGTAATTTTGATGATCTACTCTCTCATTCTACAGATAACAAACGCAGGGCTCACAGAAGTTAAGTAATACTCTAAAATAATAAATCACCCTAGCTGGTTTGGCTCAATGGAAAGAGTGTCAGTCTGTGAACTGAAGGGTCCCAGGTTCAATTCTGGTCAAGGGCATGTACCTACATTGCAGGCTCCTCCCCCATCCAGGCCCTGGTCAAGGAGTGTGCAAGAGGCAACCAATGGATGTGTTTCTCTCACATCAATATTTCTGTCTATCTTTCCCTCTCTTTTCCACTCTCTCTAAAAATAAATGGAAAAATATCCTCGGGTGAGAATTAAAAAATAATAATAATAAAATGACAAATCAACTGGATTTTGCATAATTACAAATTTGTAATATACATAGTTATAGGGAAACACTCAAATCATATTCATATAGTGATTTCAATTACTCAAGATTCAGTTGGAATTATAAAAGTTTTAAGGTAGACTGAAAGTGGAAAACTTAAGAGGGCTCAGGAGAAAATTGGTCCTATATATGAATCAAAATAATGCAAGTGGTACCCTTGAACACATCAACAAAAGGGCAACATCAACAGAGACACTTTTCCAGTATTTACTTATCAAGAAATATACTGCATTTCTAATTCTATTTCTAATGTTAAGTTTTACTGAGTAGGTATAAAAGTGATATTTAAATGATTAATAGTAAATATAGATTTACAAACCTGGTAATAGGCTTAATAAATAGTTTTCAAAGTTATATCTCGTGTATTCATAGCAAACAGTAGAAGGTGTGTCTAACCAAAGGATTAAAAACACACATACACAAGAAATATAATTCCAGGGATAGACTACCAGGTCAGTTACAGTAAATAAGAGATTTGGGGTCTAAGAACCCTCACGTGGCCATTTGAAAAGTGAGCATTTACGTCCTATTTTAAAAAAAATTTTTTGCCATTAACTGATTTTCAATATATGTATTTGGTCCCAAAGAAGAAGAAAACGAAAGAGAAAGAAATAGAAAATAAAACTAGCAAATTCTATCTCTTAAAGAGGAGTCAGTGGTCTAAATAACAAAAGTATAGGAATGTAAAAACCAATAGAGAAACATCTTAATATATTAATCACTGAACCAGAAAACAAATTTAGTGTCAATGATATGGTGTTACCTACACTCGCCAAGAGGCAACACCTCATAGATATTCCACAGCCCAACACAGCAGTTTGCACATGGTAGGCACTCTAATGTATATGATGACTGAATGTGTCTGTAAGTGAAACAAGTGGGGAATTATTCAACCCAAAGCAACTTACTAGCATGTGTCAAAAATAAAAATAAAAATATTTCTCAGTAGGATCCTCTTATTCATAAAGGCCTCCCATATAGGGCATCCAAGCTGTTCTTTCCCTGTAATCCTTTTCATAATCCACCCCTAAGAACGTATCAAGTGACAAAATAATTTCTTAATGGGCAGAATCTGTGGACTAGTCTACTTCTTAGCATTTATTCTAATCATATCATACCTAGTTCTATCAAACTCTAACAGTTTGTCTTTATGCTTGATAGCCTTTTCCAGACCAGACTTAAATTGCAACTCTTGATGAGGAAGAAGGTCCTTGGTAGAGATGTCCACTTTTCCAGAATTCTCCGACCCTAAAATTCAATAAGAAAATAAAATGTTGTCAGCTTACAATACAAATTAGTTGTATCACTGTGCAGCAAAAAATAAAATCAGAAGATCTGGCTCTGCCCTGATGACCTACAGCCTTCATTTCAATAGAGAACAAACAAGTACACAGGTAGTGCTTGGCACATAGTAGATTCTCAATAAATGTTAAGCTCCATTTCTTCCCTTATGGAAATTTGGATCACCAAGAGGAACAAAAATGTTTTAACAACACAATATTAAATGCCTTAAAAATGAAAAACTTTATTGAGTAGGACTGAATATAACTTTTAAACATACTTTTATATATTAAAACTAAAAACTATATAATGGAAGAAATAGTCTGGCTGGTGTTGCTCAGTGGTTAAGCACTGACCTGTGAACCTGGAGGTCATGGTTCAATTCCTGGTCAGGGCACATGGCTAGATTGCAAGCTTGATCCACAGTAGGGGGCATGCAGGAGGCAGCAGATCAATGATTCTCTCTCATCACTGATGTTTCTCTCTCTCTTTTCCTTTCCCTTCCTCTCTGAAAGCAATAAATTAAAAAAATAAATAAATAGGTATATATTCATAGCAGCACAATTTACAATAGCTAGGATTTGGAAACAGCCTAGGTGCCCGTCAGCAGATGGTTGGATCAAAAAACTATGTTACATCTACACAATGGAATACTATGCTGCCATAAAAAAGAAGGAATTCTCATCATTTGCAGCAACCTGGATGGAATTGGAGAACATCATGCTGAGTGAATTAAGCCAGTCAATGAAAGAAAAACACCACATGACCTCACTCATTTATGGATAATAAAGAACATTATAAACTGATGAACAAAAAGACAGATACAGAGACAGTAAAGAAACAAACAGACTGTCAAATTACAGCGGGGAGGATAGGGAGATCTGGGGGAGATAAGAGATCAACCGAAGGACTTGTATACATGCATATAAGCAAAACCAATGGACGTAAAACTCTGTGGGGGAGGGCATATGGGTGTGTGTGTGGGGGGGGGGCAATGGAAAGATATGTACACATATAATACCTTAATAAAAATTTTTAGAAAAAGAAAAAGAAAAAAGAAAAAAAAGAATCTTCTTTAAGAAAATGAATTTAAAAATCAAAAATTTGAATAATAAAATGGCAATAAATACATTCCTAACAATAATTGAATCTAAAAAAAACAAAATAAATGAATAAGCAAAATAGAAACAGACTTAGATACAGAGGACATTTTGACAGTTGCCAGATGGGAGAGGGTTTGGGAAATTGGGTAAAAAAGGTAAAGGGATTAAGAAGTACAAAACGGTTGTAACAGAATAGTCATGAGTCTGTTCTGCGGCTTCTCTGTAATTTTAATGTGGTTATGGGAGTAGGTGAGTACCACATTTACCTATAGCACCATCTTGACTAGAAGTCTCCTCTCACTATTAATTAGAATTCTTCTACAAGAAAGAGCTGTCCCTTCTCCCCCATTTAGTTAATTCAGAATGTATTTTACTCATTGGATTATAAATCATTATTGTTTTTTTGTTCAATGTGGTTTTAATAATAACTTTCAAAAAATAATGATTATAAAATAAATGAGTGAATAAACTGCATCTTACATACCAGGATATGAGAAAGAGAAATAAACACAGATACAACAACATATAGGGTCTAGTAATAATTAATGTCGTTTTTTAACATTCGTTTAAAATCTTGCTTGGCGTTGACTTGTATTGACATAACCTTCAAACACGTGGTATCTACAGAACGTGTGAAGTGCAATTAACAAGTTTTGCTTGAAAAAGTTTGTGTTTGGTTTGGTTTTTGTTGCAAAACTAGGGCTAAGAAGATGGCGGATGAAGAGCATATTCGGCACTGCATGCTTTACGAGTTCCAATTAGGAAGAAAAGCAAGTGAGGCTGCAAAAAACATCTGTAGTGCTCTTGGTCAAGATGCAGTTAGCGCCAGAAAATGCCAGCGTTGGTTTGAGAAATTTCGCGAGGGAAATTTTTCGTTAGATGACAAGAGTGGTCGAGGCCATGTGTCCAATTTTGATCAAGAAGCTCTTCAAGCTCTTTTGGTGCAAAATCCTCAAATTACCCAACAAGAGCTTGCGACAACTTTAAATTGTTCACAAAAAACAATTTCCAATCAAAAGCGTGCACTTGGCAAAGTCCAAAAGTTTGGAAAATGGGTTCCTCATGAGTTGACCGACAACAACCGTAATCAAAGAGTCACAATTTGCAGTTCGCTCCTCTCTCGTCAAAACCGTTTGCCGTTTTTAGAGCAAATTGTTACCGGAGATGAAAAATGGGTGCTGTATGTTAATTTGAAAAGGCGGCCTCAATGGTTGGACAAAAATGAGGCTCCACAGCCCACGCCAAAACCTGACTTGCATGAGAAAAAAGTGATGTTGTGTGTTTGGTGGAATTTTAAAGGAATTCTTCATTATGAACTTTTACCATCTAACCAAACCATTACAAGTACAGTGTATAGTGCCCAATTGGAAAGGTTAGCCCAAGCTTTAAGAGAAAAAGAACCCGCGCTGATTAATCGGAAGGGCGTAATTCTTCACCACGATAACGCAAGACCGCATACTGCAAGAATCACTGCTGAAAAACTGCGCCAGTTGGAATGGGAAGTTCTCCCTCAACCTGCATATTCTCCTGATATTGCCCCTTCCGATTACCATTTGTCTCGTTCTTTGCAAAACTTTCTTCTTGGAAAAAAATTTAATAATGAAGAATGCCTCAAAAATGCATTGACCGAATTTTTTGCATCAAAATCACAAGAATTTTACAACAGAGGGATTAAAATGCTTCCTGAGCGTTGGGCACAAGTAGTAGAAAACAACGGCAACTATATTGTTGATTAAATTTTGTTGTATTGTTTAAATAAATTCGATTTAAAAAAGTATTAGAAAACGACATTAATTATTACTAGGCCTAATATATCCATCACCACAGTAATCCAATCAAAAAATTACTGCCTACCTGACATTAACTTCTTGAGCAATTTCTGGCTCTTGTTTGAGTCACGTTGTAAAATATCCTTTTCTTCACGAGTACATACCTATATGGTAATAAAAGTCACATGATCCCATAGTTATTTATGTTGTTTGCTTGATATACCTACAAAGTAACCTTAAATTACACATTAGCTATGGCAATTTAAAAAATGAGAGACTGTTGGTGCTTTTTTATTCTGACAAACCAAAATATATATATACAAATGAGTTTTGCCCTTCTCTATTTCTCCCTTCTTTCATTAACCATACAAAAAACTGATCTCACTGCAAATGACCCTGAATGGCTTGATAATTTAAAAATAAATTAATTAATTTTTTAATACACACACACACACACACACACATATGTATATAAAACCTATTTTCAAAGGAGAAAGATTTGCCATTAAGAATATTGGAAAAAATATTCAATACTTTCTATTTTAAAATGCTTTCCAGTTCTAGTCATGAAATTCAAGTCTTACAGGAGAAATTATAAGCAGATACCTTATTAGAAAGAAGCAGAGAAAGCCCACTGTGTGGGAGAACATATTTGCAAATGTTACCACTGATAAAGGTTTAACCTCCAACATCTACAGATAGCTTATACAACTAAATAAAAGGAAGATGAATGATCCAATTAAAAAATGGGCAATGGACCTAAATAGAATATTTAAAAAGAAGACAGAAGGAAGGCCAAAAGGCACATGAAAACATGCTCAAAGTCACTAATTATCCAAGAGATGCAAATCAAAACAACAATGCGGTACCATCTCACACCTGTCAGAATGGCCAACATCAACAAATCAACAACAAGTGTTGGCGAGGTTGCGGAGAAAAAGAACCCTCGTGCACTGCTGGTGAGAATGCAGACTGGTGCAACCACTGTGGAGAACAGTATGGAGTTTCCTCAAAAAACTGAAAATGGAACTCCCATTTGACCCAGTAATCCCACTCCTAGGAATATATCCCAAGAAACTAGAAACACCAATCAGAAAGGATATATGCACCCCTATGTTCATAGCAGCACAATCTACAATAGCCAGAATTTGGAAACAGCCTAGGTGCCCGTCAGCAGATGACTGGATCCAAAAACTATGGTACATCTATACAATGGAATACTATGCTGCCATAAAAAAGGAATTCTCATCATTTTGCAGCAACCTGGATGGAATTGGAGAACATCATGCTGAGTGAAATAAGCCAATCAATGAAAGAGAAACACCACATGACCTCACTCATTTATGGATAATAAAGAACATTATAAACTGATGAACCAAAAGATAGATATAGAGACAGTAAAGCAACAAGCAGACTGTCAAATTACAGCAGGTAGGGTAGGGAGATCTGGGGGAGATAATAGATCAACCGAAGAACTTGTATACATGCATATAAGTACAACCAATGGACATAAAACTCTGGGGAGAGAGGGTATGTATGGGGGGGGGGGACAATGTTAAAATATGTACACAGATAATAATTTAATTAAAAAAATAGCAAAAATTTAAATAAAAAAATTTTAAAAAAAGCAGAGAAAAAAGCAAATTACAATATCACCAGTGAAATCTAGCCTAGCTTTTATTATATATATATATATATATATATATATATATATATATATATATATATACACACACACACTAGAGGCCCGGTGCATGAAAACTCATGCACTGGAGGGAGGGGTCCCTCAGCCCAGCCTGCCCCCTCTCACAGTCCAGGAGCCCTCAGGGGTGGGAGGTGACCCTGTGATCAGGAGAAGGTGATGCCCCATCACACCTCTGCTGCTGCTACTGCCAGCAGTGCAAGCTTTGGTGGGCCCTGGTTACCTGAGGCTTGGGCGGCCCTGGGAAGCTGGGCAGCTGCCATCTGAGGCTTGCCTGTGCCTCTGGCCAGCCCTGGGCGGCTGGGGGGCTGAGGAGGCTGAGGGGACTGAGTGCCACCATCTTTGAGGGAGTGGCAGTCAATTAGCACATTCCCTCATTGGCTGTGAGGGCTGCCATCTTTGTGACTGAGGGTCAATTATCATATTCCCACTTTCTTAGATAGGACATATCTTTGCCTTTGAACATTATAAAATAATGAATATATTGAGCAAAAACAGGTTTTGGGAATTATAAAATCACTGCAATTGTAAGAAGGGAGGCAAAGAAGAGGTTACTTAAAAACAGTTTCATACTAAGCTTACAAAGCTGCAAGGCTTCAAGGCCTATCTGTTTTACATTACTCTGTTTCTTGAACTGTTATATCTCAAAGGGATCTAACAGGAAATGCTGTACTTCCTAGTAGTTGCCTTGGTGGTATACAGAGTTTCTGCCAGCAGCTGTAGATTGTTTCTCTAGACTCTAGAGAAAGCTTCATATGGGAGGATATTTTATGCCATTTTCTAAACATTTCTGATGATAGAGATTACATTTTCTGTCAACTTGTTCTCTGAGTATACCAAAAACTTATGAGCTCTAAACAAAGCACTTAAAAGAAGGTAAAACAAAGCAATATAAAATAGGTGCCTTCAACACCACCAAATGCCATTGCTTTGGCCCGCCAGCTCAACTGGCAAAATAGATTTTCTTTGAAAAAATTCTCACCCAAGGATATGTTCTACTGATTTCAGAGAGAGAAGGAAGAGGAGGGGAGGAAGGAAGAGAGGGGAGGAAGGAAGAGGAAGAGAGGGAGGGAGGGAGAGAGAAGAAGAGAGGGAGAGCCGAAACTGGTTTGGCTCAATGGATAGAGAGCGTCGGCTTGGGGACTGAAAGGTCCCAGGTTCGATTCCAGTCAAGGGCATGTACCTTGGTTGCGGGCATATCCCCAGTAGGGGGTGTGCAAGAGGCAGCTGATCGATGACTCTCTCTCATCGATGTTTCTAACTCTCTATCTCTCTCCCTTCCTCTGTGCAAAATAATAAAATAAAATAAAATAGGGAGAGACAGAGGAGGAGGGGTGGGGGAGAGAAAAGGAAACAGATTTATGAGAGAAATATTGATCAATTACCCACCCACCCCCAAACACACACACAAGGCCCGCCTCCCCCACCAGGATTGAACCCATAACCCGGTATGTGCCCTGACCAGGAATCAAACTGGCAATCTTTCGGTAAATGGGAAGATGCTCCAACCAAGTCACACTGGTCAGGGCTGGCATAAAGTTTTTAGACTACTCATTACAGTGTTTGTAAGAGTGTCATTACTGCTACACTCTTGGGATCATTCTCTCAGATAATACACAACTATAAAGAGTTGTCCTAGAAACAAAACCTCTAATGACCCAAAGATTGTGTCATAATGCTTCTGCTCCTTTGGGTATGTGAACAACATCTGAAAACTTTGACAAACATTTTTGACATTTTAGGCCCTAAAGTTTTCTTCAATTGAAGTTATTAGGCCTCGTTACTAGGATAAAACCTTGTTAAAAAAAATTCCTGCTACTACAGTTTACTGGACATCACAGGGAAGAAATTTCTATGAAAAAGAGATTACTAGGGATGTGAAAGTCCCTAGTTATTAAACCAAAACACAGTAGTAAAATAAAACAGGAGATAAACAATTACCAGAGTTCCACAGAATAAGCAAGGACCAGAACCTTCTTGTTCACAGACTATACGCCCGCAGATCAGACAGTTATTGATCAGCTTGTGCTTCTGGCCCAGGCAATCACAAGGGTGGCGACCTGGGATCAGGACTGCAAGCTTGTCTTGTCCCTCTTTTGTATATAAACTGACAAACTTTGTCTTCTTCTTTAAAGTGTTGTTTTCTTGTGCCTATTTGTACAAAAATATCAGAAATAACATCAAGTAATGAATGACAATGAAAATAGTCAAGGAGAGAGAATTTCAGTTCTGTTCAATAACAACTTATTCACTATGAGAAGCCAGGAAAGAAGGAAGAAAATGGGAGAAATACAAATTAATTATAATCAAGGGTCTAGGGAAAGAAAGAATCAACCAATGAATGAATATACAAGTGAAACAACAAATTAATGTTTCTGTCCCTCTTGCGCCTTCCCTCTCTCTATAATCACTTAATAAAATTTTTTAAAAATAGACTCAATAAGAAAAGACAAACAACACAATAGAAAAATGGACAAAAGTCCTAAATAGGAATGTAATAAAAGACAATATCCAAATTGGCCAACAATCACATAAAAAGGTGCTTAACTTCATTAGTCATCAAGATAATGCTAAATAAAACCACAATACATACGACTACATACCAACCAGAATGGCTAAGTTGAAAAAGACAGAAAATACAGTGTTGGCAAGGACACGGAGCAATTACAGCTCTCATACACCGCTTGGGTATAAACTGAATCTGAACATATGCATACCCTGTGACCTAGCAATTCAACTCTTGGATATATACACAATAGAAATGTGTAAATATGTTCACTAAAAGACAGGAAAAATAATGTTCACTGCAGCATTGCAATTGGAATCTACTCAAATGTTCAACAGTAAAGAAAAAAATGTTCAACAGTAGATGTATTCACTTAGTGGGATCCTATGTAGCAATGAGAATGAAAAAGCAAAGCTACACAAAACAATATGGATAAATTATTATAAAGTGTATTAAATGAAATAAGCCAAAACAAAAGACTACATATTATTAATTTTTTAATATATTTTATTGATTTTTTTACAGAGAGGAGGAGAGAGGGATAGAGAGCTAGAAACGTCGATGAGAGAGAAACATCGACCAGCTGCCTCCTGCACACCCCCTACCGGGGATGTGCCCGCAACTAATGTACATGCCCTTGACCGGAATCGAACCTGGGACCTTTCAGACCGCAGATCGACGCTCTATCCACTGAACCAAACCGGTTTCAGCAAGACTACATATTATTTAGCTCCATTTATACAAAGTTCATAAGCAGACAACACTATTCTCTGATGTTGGAAGTTAAGAAGGAGTTTGCCTTGGGAGGGTTGTCATTTTGAGGAACATTGGGGGTCTAGAGGAATGGAAATGTTTTGTTTCTATCTATACAGATATGGGTCAGTTTGTGAAAATTCATAGGTTCAATTCTGCATGTGTGTTATAAAATAAAAAGTTTAAGAGAGAGAAGTGTATTTATCATCCTCTGTCTCACTCCATTCAAGCTGTCATAACAAAATACCATAGATTGGGCAGCTTACAACAGGAATTTATTTCTCACAGTTCTGGAGGCTGAAAGTCCAAAATCAGAGTGTCAGCATGGTTGGATGAGGGTCTTCTTCCAGAAATGACATGTAGGTCACTGTGTCCTCACATGGTGAAAGGGGCTAGGGAACTCCTTGGGGTCTCTCTTAGAAGAACACTAATCCCATTCATGAGAGTTCCATGACATAAGAAATTCCCAAAGGTCCCATACCCTAATATCATCACATTGGGCATTAGCATTTCAACATGTGAATTGGGGTGGGATGGGAGATACAAACATGTAAATCATAGCAGCCTCTGACATATGAAGTGTATAGATGCCTCTCCCATACTGTGGTCTTATTTCCCTTTAAATTGAGAGTTCCTCAATCATTTCCAGAGACTGAAGTTTCACAGTGAAAAAAATCTCAAAAGTCTAGCAGTTGGGAAAATACTAAAAGGAAGAGAACAATTCTTTAGTAAGTATAAAGAGATCTGAAATGCCCTAATGTCCAAAGCGAAAGTTGAGATATAAAGACAATATCAAATAAGTCAACTTAGGTAAAAATTAAAATGTAAGACAAGTGCTAAAGATTTTATCAAATCTAGTAGGCTGCATTTTTTCAAATTAATCAATTAAATCTTTGGCTCTCAGGGATAGAGGTAGAGGGAAGGTTAAAATCTCTAAGCAGAGCCCAGCCTGTGTGACCCAGTGGTAGAGCATCAACCTATGAACCAGGAAGTCATGGTTTGATTTCATGCCAGGAAACATGCCCAGGTTGCAGGGTGGATCCCCAATAGAGAAACTACAGTAAGCAGCTGATTGATTCTTTTTGTTTCTCTCTCTCCCTCCCTCACTCTCTTCCTCTCTTTGAAATCAGTAAAAACATTTGTAAAATGTAAAATGTTAAAATCTCTAAGCAGACATTTGTATTTTATTCCCATCAAAACAAACCGAAACCAGTTTGGCTTAGTGGATGGAACGTTGGTCTGCAGACTAAAAGGTCCCAGGTTCGATTTCGGTCAAGGGCATGTACATTGGTTGCAAGCACATCCCCAGTAGGAGGTGTGCAGGAGGCAGCTGGTCGATGTTTCTCATCGATGTTTCTGGCTATCCCTCTCCCCTCCTCTCTGTAAAAAAATCAATAAAATATATATTTTTTTAAAAAAAGTAAACACATTCCATGGCTTAAAATCATCATCGGCTTCCCATTGTGCTTAGAATAAAATCCAAGCTACTTTCTAACAACCTATAAAGCCTTACATATGGTTCTCCAACTTCATCTACATGTCATTCTTTTCCTGCTCACTATGACCAGGCACATAGAGCTTCTGATACTTCCTAGAACACTTTCCTCCATCTCTACTTTGCACTTGTTAATTCCTCTATCTGCACTGTTACCAGTCCATCTCTTTACATACAGTTCCTTCTCATGTTCAGATTTGTGTGGTGTGTTTTTTTCAAATTATAAGAGAAAGTTTATTTAGACAGTTACAGAGATAGTAGAAGTGAGCCAGCTGAGCTTTGTAGGCTCAGGAAACAAGCTACTGAAGCAGAAGAAGGATCCTTGAAGTGTAGAAGAGGGAAAGGTGAAAGTAATGCGCCTGGGGCGGGGGGGGGGGGGGGGGGGGGGATGAGGAAGGGGAAGGGCACAAGCGTGCTCCTGAGGGCCAGCACTTCAAGTTCAGGTTTTACAATAGCTATAATTTCAGTTTTTCAGAGAGGCTTTACCTAAACTAACACCCTTCTTACCAATTACTGCCTATTGTACTGTTCTTTTTATTTTTCATGGTAGTCTTCACAATCTATAATTACTTAAAAATTTTTTCTTTGACTGTCTTTTTCACTTTTCCTCTGAACCACTAAAATGTACACTGTAAGAGAGCAAGAAAGCTTATCGCTATAGTTCTAAAACCTAAATCAATTCTTGACATACAGCAGACATGCAATAAATGCTTCCAGATCTGTGAATTTGCCTACTTGCAAAAATGTATTTGTAACTCCAAAATCAATACTCCAGGTGTTTTCACAATCATTTATGGACATGTACAGAGTGGCAATAAATTTGAGTCACCAGCCGAAGCCGGTTTGGCTCAGTGGTAGAGTGTTGGTCTGCGGACTGAAAGGTCCCAGGTTCGATTCCAGTCAAGGGCATGTACATTGGTTGCAGGCACATCCCCGGTGGGGGGTGTGCTTGAAGCAGCCGGCCGATGTTTCTCTCTCATCGGCGTTTCTAGCTCTCTATCTCTCTCCCTTCCTCTCTGTAAAAAAATCAATAAAATATATTTATAAATAAATAAATAAATAAATAAATAAATAAATAAATAAATAAATAAATTTGAGTCACCAAATACACATATTTCCAGCTAAGGTCAAGCAATGCAATGGGTCTGCCTTCTTATTTCAGCTCTCATACCACAAACAAGTGTCTTTTTAAAAATATATATGTTTTGCCCTGACTGGTTTGGCTCAGTGGATAGAGTGTCAGCCTGCAGACTGAAGGGTCCCAGATTCAATTCCGGTCAAGGGCATGTACCTTGGTTGCGGGCACATCCCCAGTAGGGGGTGTACAGGAAGCAGCTGATTGATGTTTCTACCTCTCTATCCCTCCCCCTTCCTCTCTTTAAAAATCAATAAAATATATTTATTTTTTAAATATATTTTATTGATTTTTTTACAGAGAGGAAGGGAGAGAGATTGTTAGAAAAATCGATGAAAGAGAAACATCGACCAGCTGCCTCCTGCACAACCCAACCAGGGATATGCCTGCAACCAAAGGTACATGTCCTTAACCGGAATCGAACCAGGGATTTTTCAGTCTGCAGGACGACGCTCTATCCACTGTTCCAAACCAGTTTCGGCAATAAAATATATTTTTTAAAAATAAAAAAAGTAAAAAGCATCCTTAAAAAATTGACTCAAAGAAAACACAGATAATAGTTCTCATGCTGTTCTCAACAACTTTGTCCTAGATGTTAAAAATGAATTTATTAAAAGTTTGCTATCATACTTTATATTATTTCATAATTTTTTAATTTTTTAAATTATGAAATAAGGCTTTTAAAATTTCATCTATTATTCATCACACTGATCATAAATATTTTCCTCATGTTTCTATTTTACTTTACCATAATAGTCTATATATTTGCAATCACGTCTAGTAAATTGTATATTCACGCCTACATATAAAATACCTCCTCTTTAAAAATAAGTATTTTTATTGGTAAGAGTAAAATAAAAAATTACTCAAAATAACATTCAGATGGATTACAAACCTAAAAGTGAACATTTTTCCAAAGACTATACTTTGGAGAACAATTTTACTAGTTGTATGGTAGTCCATTAAATGAGGAAACCATAATTTATTGATATTTATTTATTGTTAATCCTCACCCGAGGATATTTTTTCCATTGATTTTTTTTTTTTTTTTTTTTTTTTTTTAGAGTGGAAGAGAGGGGGATGAGAGAGAGGGAGGGGGGAGGGAGGAGGAGGGAGAAGGGGAGAGAAACATTGATATGAGAAAGGCACATTGATGTGAGAGAGAAACATCAATTGGTTGCCTCCTGCATATGCCCGAACCCACAACTATTGTAGGACCAGGATAGAATCTGCAACCCTGGTATGTGCCCTTTTCTGGCCAACGCTCTCACCACTGAGAAACAGGCTAATTTATTTAATCCTTCTCTATGACTAAATAATCAGGTCAGTTCAAATTTTCAATATTATAAATAAAATTGTATAGAATATAAGTTTTTAGCATGTACTTCTACTTTAAGTTACATTCATTAATAAGTCAAAAGTATCTGAACATTTTCCATGGTTCTTGATGTATGTATATATGCTGCCAAACTGTCCCCAAATCTTAAACCAGTTAATATTGCCATTAGCAATGTACAGGCGGTTCCTGTTTTAATGCTTCCTCATCATCGTAAGTATTCTAGTTTTAAAATATTTGACAATTTGATAAGCAGTATCTCAAGAGATTTAATGTGTATTTATTTATTTGATTACGAGTACAGTAACCAACCATCCTGATTTGCCCCAGATTTAAGGGAATCCAAGATAGGACTTTCAATGCTAAAACTGGAAAAGTCCCAACCAATGAGGGTGATGAACTGTTCTGAATTACTAGTAAGTTAGACATCTTTTTATGTTTATTGGTCATTTGTGTTGGCTTTTTTTCTTTTTTTTTTTTGCTTGTGGTCTTTGATCATTTTATTCTAAACGTTAGAAGGCATAAATCTCTATTTTTTTCCCCTTCAACCTGACATCATTTTGTAAACATTTTGCCATTTTTTTTTGCATAATCATTACACTGAGAATTTTCTGATCACTACTTCTCCATTTCAGTATAATTAACTTTTCCCTTATGTTGGGATATTTAGCTGGTCAAATTGTCTTATAAATTTTTTTGCTCACAGGGCTATTTTGGTTGCCAAGAGAAAATACAAAAAAGCTCTCACAGTAAATGCTGATAGTGGTGGTAGTAGATGGCCCAAAGAGGAACACTGTTAATAATAGCTAAAATTGTACATTCCTTTAGTATAAACCCGCACACAAAAAATGTTGAAATTGAAGGCCTAGTGCACTTCATTAAATATTTTACATTAAGTAAATAAATGTTTATTTATTATATATCGGGCTAAAACCCACAGAACACCGCCTGCAGCTCCTGCTCATTCTGACCCCACTGTGCCTGCTATGGGCTCATGCCCAATCAGTTACAATTGGGAGAAGCTCTGGCACCCTCCCAAGGGAAGTGGCCTGCAGGATCGGGTTGGGTTGAAACCCATTCTCGGACATCCCCTAAGGAGTACTGGATTGCCAGAGGGTGCAGGCCAGGCTGAGGGACCCCACTGGTGCACACTCAGGCCAAGGGAGGGACCATAGGAGGGCTCAAGGGCGTGTCCCACCCATCTCGCTCATTCCCGATTGGCAAGACCCCAGTTGAAGCATCTGCCCCCTGGTGGTCAGTGCACATCAGAGTGACTGGTCAACCAGTTGACTGTCTGCCCCTTGGTGGTCAGTGCACATTTAGCAACTGGTCGACCAGCTGATTGCCCCCTGGTGGTCAGTGCATGTCACAGCAAACAGTTTAGCATCCTTAGCATATCATTAGCATATTACACTTTGATTGGTTGGTTGGTTGTTCTGCCATTTGATCTATTTGCATATTACCTTTTATTATATATTGTAGAAGATATATAATCTTCAAGTAAAGATGTCCTTATGCTAAAAGTGGTTTGGCTCAGTGGATAGAGGATCTGCCTGTGGACTGAAAAGTCCTGGGTTCGATTCTGGTCAAGAGCATGTACCTTGGTTGCGGGCACATCCCCAGCAGTGGGTGTGCAAGAGGCAGCTGATCAATGATTCTCTCATTAATTTTTCTAACTCTCTATTCCTCTCTCTTCCTCACTACAAAAAAGCAACAAAAATATATTTTGAAAAAGGTATCCTTATAATATTTATTTAATCAGGCAGCCAAAAATGCTACCATATATAAATTATTACTTTCTCTTCATAAAACTCATGCATTTGCTGGAAAATTGCCATTCTAGACCAATGTGTATACTTTGTACAGTCATTCCTCTTCTCCATATAGCCAGAAAAAATTTCATTTTATAAACACTTACCTTGGCCAAATCAAAAGGTGTTTTGACCTCTAGGGTTGTGTCAGGTTCAGCAAATGCAGGAACTTCCTGTCTGTTTCTCCCTTTCCGCCTACTTCTCTTTAACTGGTCTCCTGATCTCTGCCCGTCTAAAATTTCTGTAAAGAAGAAAAAAATAGAGAGAGGGGTAGAAGGAAAGGGACGGGAGTGGGGGGGGGGGAAGAAGGGGGCGGGGAGGAGAGAACGAAACTTCAATTTGTTGTTCCACTTATTTACACATTCATTGGTTGATTCTTTTATGTGCCCTGATCAGGGAACCCACAACCTGGGCATGTGGAGATGATGCTCTAACTAAGCAACCCGGCCAGTGTGATGCTTCATATCGGGTCCAGTAATAATTAATGTCGTTTTAAAACATTCGTTTAAAATCTTGCTTGGCGTTGACTTGTATTGACATAACCTTCAAACACGTGGTATCTACAGAACGTGTGAAGTGCAATTAACAAGTTTTGCTTGAAAAAGTTTGTGTTTGGTTTGGTTTTTGTTGCAAAACTAGGGCTAAGAAGATGGCGGATGAAGAGCATATTCGGCACTGCATGCTTTACGAGTTCCAATTAGGAAGAAAAGCAAGTGAGGCTGCAAAAAACATCTGTAGTGCTCTTGGTCAAGATGCAGTTAGTGCCAGAAAATGCCAGCGTTGGTTTGAGAAATTTCGCGAGGGAAATTTTTCGTTAAATGACAAGAGTGGTCGAGGCCATGTGTCCAATTTTGATCAAGAAGCTCTTCAAGCTCTTTTGGTGCAAAATCCTCAAATTACCCAACAAGAGCTTGCGACAACTTTAAATTGTTCACAAAAAACAATTTCCAATCAAAAGCGTGCACTTGGCAAAGTCCAAAAGTTTGGAAAATGGGTTCCTCATGAGTTGACCGACAACAACCGTAATCAAAGAGTCACAATTTGCAGTTCGCTCCTCTCTCGTCAAAACCGTTTGCCGCTTTTAGAGCAAATTGTTACCAGAGATGAAAAATGGGTGCTGTATGTTAATTTGAAAAGGCGGCCTCAATGGTTGGACAAAAATGAGGCTCCACAGCCCACGCGAAAACCTGACTTGCATGCGAAAAAAGTGATGTTGTGTGTTTGGTGGAATTTTAAAGGAATTCTTCATTATGAACTTTTACCATCTAACCAAACCATTACAAGTGCAGTGTATAGTGCCCAATTGGAAAGGTTAGCCCAAGCTTTAAGAGAAAAAGAACCCGCGCTGATTAATCGGAAGGGCGTAATTCTTCACCACGATAACGCACGACCGCATACTGCAAGAATCACTGCTGAAAAACTGTGCCAGTTGGAATGGGAAGTTCTCCCTCAACCTGCATATTCTCCTGATATTGCCCCTTCCGATGACCATTTGTTTCGTTCTTTGCAAAACTTTCTTCTTGGAAAAAAATTTAATAATGAAGAATGCCTCAAAAATGCATTGACCGAATTTTTTGCATCAAAATCACAAGAATTTTACAACAGAGGGATTAAAATGCTTCCTGAGCGTTGGGTACAAGTAGTAGGAAACAATGGCAACTATATTGTTGATTAAATTTTGTTGTATTGTTTAAATAAATTCGATTTAAAAAAGTATTAGAAAACGACATTAATTATTACTAGACCTAATAGAACGATATTCAACAGAAATTGAGAAGAACTAGATTAAAACTATGTATACATATGATTCTGCTTAAGTTGGCTGTGAGGAACTAGAGTGACAAAAAATACCAATTCCTATAAGCCAGCCCATTTACCAGTATTTAATTACATTAACTCACCATCTTTTTTGAAGGAAGGCTGCAGTGCATCAGAAATCAACTCCTGATCATTCTTTTGCCATTTGTTTATAAGCTCTTCTATGAATTGACCTTTTTTGCCTTCATTTCCCTGAAGGAGGTCAGTAACATATTCTCGTATCTCTTCAGGACTCTCAATTGACAAAACATACCTCAAAAAGAAAAGATATAAGTTGTTGAAACAAGGCTAGCTTACACTATGGTTTTCAAAATCATAATAGAGATCAAGGTAGTAAAAATCATTAATCCATTTGAGTCTTTACTTTGAGTTAAGTTCTACTCTAGATGCTAGGAATATCAATTTGATTAGGACAAAGTCCCTGACCTCCAGCAGTTTGTATTCTAATCTTCACAATCTTCTTGTATTTCTAAAACCAAATCAGTGTACTGAAGAGAGACTTATGGGACTTCCCTTAACACAGGAATACTGTTGTTTTTTTTAATTTGTATTAAAATACAGTTAGCAAAATAAATAAAATAAAATAAAACTGGCAGAATATTTTCTATAACTATGTATCTGAAATCATTATATTTTCCTATGAACAATACAAATTACTTAATCTCTATGTTGCAAAACCTAAATTTTCTCATTTTCACTAAAAATATGAATACACTAGAGGCCCGGTGCATGAAATTCATGCATGGGGGTGTGTGTCCCTCAGTCCACCTGCACCCTCTCCAATCTGGGACCCCTTGAGAGATGTTCAACTGCCCTGTTTAAATCTGTGGGATGGGGCCTAACCGGGCAGTCAGACATCTCTCTCAAAATCCAGGACTGCTGGCTCCCAACTGCTCACCTGCCTGCCTTCCTGATTGCCCCTAACTGCTTCTGCCTGCCAACCTGATTGCCCCCTAACTATTCCCCTGCCAGCCTGATCGCTCCCAACTGCCCTCCCCTGCAGGCCCAGTCCCTCCCAACTGCCCTCCTCTTCTGGCCTGGTCAACCCTAACTGCTCACAACTGCCCTCCCCTGCTGGCCATCTTGTGGTGGCCATCTTGTGTCCACATGAAGGCAGCCACCTTGTGTGCTGGTATGACAGTCAATTTGCATATTACTCTTTTACTAAATAGGATTATAAATTTAAACCAGTAATTGATTTAATATTCCTTTTTTAAAATATACTTTATTGATTTTTTATAGAGAGGAAGGAAGAGTTAGAGAAATAGAGAGTTAGAAACATCGATGACAGAGAATCATCAATCAGCTGCCTCTTGCACACCCCCCACCGGGGATGTGCCCGAAACCAAGGTATATGCTCTTGACTAGAATCGAACCTGGGACCATTCAGTCTGCAGGCTGATGCTCTATCCACTGAGCCAAACCGGCTCTGGCTGATTTAATATTCTTAAAAATTGTAAATCAAGATTGGCATCACATCAGAATAAGCAAATCTACACACATACATTTTATTATGCTTCACAGGTACTGGATGTTTACAAACTGAAAGTAAGACCCTCTACCAGTAAAGAGATTATGACTTGCTTTATTACAGTGGTCTGGAACCAAACCCACAATATCTGAGGTATGTGTGTATTGAAGGAAATTTTATAAAGGGTTCTTAAAAAGTGAGGTGGAATACAAGTCAGTACAACTTTTCTAGAAATCAACTAGTTAGTATATTTTAAATGCCTTAGAAAAAAATCCAATAATTCCCTTTGTAGGACTCTATATGACATAGAGACAGAAAATTTTAAGCAAAATAGTTAACTTCATCTTTATTTAAACTGGTGAAAAAAGTAGAAACTATTGAAAACATCCATTCATGAAGAAGGGGAAAATGAACTCAAATTTTTAGACTTTACAATCATTAGTGAAATTTTTGAATAATTATTGTTAATCTGGGTTAATGCTCTAATACAATGGTAAGTAAAATAATAGGCTGTATAGCATATGATCTAAATTGCTACCAAAAAAATGTGTATATCTATACACTTTGTGTTGAAAAAGTATAGAAAGTTATACACCAAAATGATTATCACTGAGTGGTACAATTAAAAAGAGTTTTAGCCGAAACCGGTTTGGCTCAGTGGATAGAGCGTCGGCTTGGGGACTGAAGGGTCCCGGGTTCGATTCCAGTCAAGGGCATATACCTTGGTTGCGGGCACATCCCCAGTAAAGGGCGTGCAAGAGGCAGCTGATCGATGACTCTCTCTCATCAATGTTTCTAACTCTCTATCTCTCTCTCTTCCTCTCTGTATAAAATCAATGAAATATATTTTTAAAAAATAAATAAACAAATAAAAATAAAAAATAAAAAGTTTTAGTTTATTTTTATTTTCTCTTTCCCCTAGAATTTTAAAATATATTACAATATGCATAAATAAAAACACTAAAAGAGAAATTATGGTTATCTCTGGGTTGTGGTAATTTTAGTTTCTTCTTTTTAAATTTATTTTATTTTAATTTAGTTTCTACAGTGAATATGCATATCATCAGATGAGTAAAAAAATTACTTATAAATTAAGATAATGTACTATTATCAGATCCGAAGAAACTATTGTAATTCAGATACCTCATATGGGACATACAAAAAATTAGTAATGCTATATCCTTTAAATTTAAAACATCATGCAACTGTCCCATCATTGGTAGACAATCATTTTCGGGGCTTTTACAGTTTAATCAACCTGATCCCTAGACTTACTAGCCCCCATCAAAAAATCAATTGCTATCAAGGACTCACAGTGCTTCAAGGAACTTCAAGAGATCATTTAACTCTGGAATATTCAAACCACTAGAAAAAATTTTTTTTAATATATTTTATTGATATTTTACAGAGAAGAAGGGTGAGAGAGAGAGAGCTAGAAATGTCAATGAGAGAGAAATATCGAACAGCTGCCTCTTGCACACCCCCCACCGGGGATGTGCCCGCAACCAATGTACATAAATGCCCTTGACTGGAATCGAACCTGGGACCTTTCAGTCCGCAGACCGATGCTCTACCACTGAGCCAAACCGGTTTCGGCCACTAGAAAAATATTTTAAAAGCTCCAGAAATATTTGAATAAATGTTATTTTAACTATTTAATAAATTATAATAAAGAACTATTAAATAAATTATAATAAAGCCCTAGCTGTTTTGGCTCTGTGGATAGAGCGTCAGTGTGTGGACTGAAGGGTCCCAGGTTCCACTCCAGTCAAGGGCCCATGCCCGGGTTGTGGGCTCAATCCCCAGTGGTGACGTGCAGGAGGCAGCCAGTCAATCATTATCGATGTTTCTGTCTCTCTCCTTCTCCCTTCCTCTCTGAAATCAATAGATATATTTAAAACAAACAAACAAACAAAAACAACAGCATACACCCAAATGTGTTATGTACCAAATCTTATATATCAACCAAAATGTGAACTAATGTGGATTGTGGCTCTAACGTCCCATAAATGTGTCATTGATTAGGAAGCTAAGAGCTCTGTGCTTTTTAAAAATTTCAGGCCGCTCAAGTAAAAGTATTCAAATTACCTGACTACTACAGTACACCTAGGTAATTTTCAAATACCAGGCATGGCACAGCAAATTTACACAACAAATGGCATCCCAGACTGTTGTGCAATAACCAGTAAAAACCTAATAAGTGGTTTAAATAGAGTTACGTTATCGGGAGCTGTAGTATTTACTATTTTTTAAGTTTTGAATAGTTCTTGTCTAATTTCTATTTATGAATTTCTTTAATGCAAGCAGGTGTTTGGCCATAAGTAGTGCTTCATCTTTAAAACAAGTTTCTAATCACTCATCTTTCAAGGCTGTGGATAAGTTTAACCACGGAAAATCTAAGACTACAAAATAAGCTTTAAAAAAAATGTATAGACCAGAGAGTGTAGCTCAGTGGTTGAGCATTGACCTATGGACCAGGAAGGAGGTCAGGGTTAATACCTAGACAGGGCTCATGCCCAGGTTGCGGGCTGCAACCCAGTGTGGGGTGTGCAGGAGACAGCCAATCAGTGATTCTCTCTCATTATTGATGTTTCTATTTTTCCCTCTCCCTTCGAAACTGAAATCAATAAAAATATATTTAAAAAAAATACTTATAGGTATTAGTAAGAGTCTCAGTTGTTCTAAAATTTTTATTTATTGATTTTTTTAAAAAGGAGAAAAATATTGATTTATTGTTCCACTTATTTATGCATTCAATTCGGATGACGCTCTGACCAACAGAGCCACCCAGCCAGGTCCTGCAAAATAAGCTTTTAAACTACAACCTATGAGATTTAAATGTTTGTGAAACTATATAAGCAGACAAAATACAATTGGATTCGAAGACTGAGAAGACTGCAGTAATCCATACTCCATTGTTGATCCATCAAAAATAGCATCCAACCAAAACCGGTTTGGCTCAGTGGTAGAGCGTTGGTCTGTGGACTGAAAGGTCCCAGGTTCAATTCCGGTCAAGGGCATGTACATTGGTTGCGGGCACATCCCCGGTAGGGGGTGTGCAAGAGGCAGCTGGTCGATGTTTTTCTCATTGACGTTTCTAGCTCTCTCTCTCTCTCTCTCCCTTCCTCTCTGTAAAAAAATCAATAAAATATATATTTTTAAAAATAGCATCCATATGTAATACTTTCAACAGTAAAGATATAAATAGCCTCAAATTTTTTGATTAAATGATTTTTTTTTTGTTTGGTATGTTTTTTTTAAAAGTCTATTTTATTTGACAGCACTCCACTGCTTTAAAAAAAAAATGTTTGAAAAACTATTTAACCTGATCTTGCTTTCAAACAATGGTATAGCCAAACCATATAATTTGGCTGGATTTTTTTTTTAATTTTTTTAATTTTTACTTTTTGTGGTGTGAGTGTGTGTGCACGCGCGTGCGTGTAACTTTTGGCCGGGTTGTTTTTTTTTTTTTTTTTTTTTTTTTTAATAAGTCTATTCCAGTGTTAAAAAAAAAAAGAAAAAAGAAATCCTTTAATATAGGCTCTCTTAACTCTCTCCTTGCCTATTCGTACATTTTCTCCCAAACTTAGAAACTCCCCTTACTTCCTACAAAAGTCCTAGAATTGCAATTCTGATTCAACGAACAGGGAACAAGAAACACAGGTTTCTTGACCAAGACCAAATTTTGTGGAAGCTTTTCCCTCTCGCCTGAACATTGCACCTTCACCTATTCATCCTTTAGTTCTCGGGTTAAAGTCATATGCTGCAGGAAACAGCAATTTCTCAGAATCCTTTTCTCCGTGCTCCCACAACACCCTGAACTTCCTCCCTCAGAACCCAACAACCAGGCAGAACCCAATTGTAGCAAGTTTCTTCGTTGCCCCAGCACCTGCTGGTAGTAGCGCAACAAGTACTTGTTAAATCAACTGAAAGCAGATATTAAATCATGTCACCATCTGCACTTCATAAGAATCCTAGATTATAAAATAAGCTCTATTAGTTAGTTTACAGATGAGGACACTAAGGCACTGAGGAAAATTAAGTAGCCAAAGGTCCCAAAACTAATAAATGACAACAGAAACCAGAATCTGGGACCCCTAAGCCAGGAGCTATTTGCACCGAACTATGCAGCCCCATTTAAATTATAGGCCCTACTGGACAACTCAGATGAGGCAAACGAAAATGCTCAGAATAAGGAATTTCTGGAAAGACAGTTTGACTTGCCCCTTCTCTCCAGAATCTGAAAGAAAACTGGCTCCCGGGACAGTGTTACAAATTCTAATGACAGGGATTGGGCGTTTTCCTAGGGGAAAAGAAAAAAGAGAGAGAGAGAGAAGGACCCTATCAGCCTGACACTATTCCACAAACTAAACTATGAAACCAAAAGTCAAACATCCGTGCCCAGTGACCAACAGCCCTCTTATCACGTTACTTCATTCTCATCAACTTTTTGAGCCCTCCCTGCTTCCGGGTTCGCTGGCCCGCTCCCTTCACGGAGCTCCTCCCTGGCTCGGACCCGAGCCGCTCTTACTGCATGATCTCCTCACTGACATCCAGGCCGAAAGTTTTCCGCAACTGCTCGGTACACCAGTCCACCAACTGCTCCCGCAGCGCCGCCCCAGCCACCGCCATTTTTCCCGGCCGGAACCAGCTGGGCTGAAACAGCCCCGAGTCCTGCGCCAGACCGGTTCCCTTCGCAACAGCGACTCGGCTCGCGCGGGTTCCGCCAGGCTGCACCTCCCGCCGCAGCGCCGTGTCCCGCCCACCGGCGCCGCGTCCCTGCCCACCGGCGCCGGCTCCGCCTACCACCCCGCCTACCGGCACCGGCTCCGCCTATCGCCCGCTCCCGCCGGCGGGCCACTCGCGCGTGATTCTTCCGCGTTGGCAGATGGAGGACTCGGAAATGGAGAGTTCTATTGAGAAGGCAGTACAGATACCTATAAAAACCACCGTTTGGGAAAATCAAAACTGTAACCCATAACTGGAGGGGCACTTTTATTTTCGAAGGGCCAGTTTTAAATTGTCGGCTTTATGTAAAATATTTAAAATAGTACTTGGAAGCTGAGGCAAAGCACTTACTAGTGTAAGAATTTGCTCTAGTGATAGTGGTTGTGTTGATAACGCTCCTTCCTCCCACCCCCACCATAGTCCAAGCCTAGAGTGATGCTGCTGAAACCTCGCTGTTTAATTTTTTTCAGCCAGATCTTTCCCAGGAGAGCCAAGTAACTCAGCAAGCTCCATGGCGGTGCAGGGAGGGGGAGCTATATATAAAACAGGTGTTGGGATTTGGCTTTGAAGACCTTCCACATGAATTCGATGTAGTGATAAAAATCACTACAGAATTTGAAGGTAAGTATTTCAAACCACGATGGCCAGCGTTAAAGTCTTTTGCTACTCCTTAGATCACTGTAGATGGGAAAATTTAGCCAAACTTTTTTAAAGAGCCTATTTTTTTCTTCTTTCTTTCTTCCTTTCTTTCTTTCTTTCTTTCTTCTTCTTCTCACTCTTTTTCTAAATCAATTAAAAGCATATTTTTAAACAAATATTTTTTTACTAGGCATCACTGTTTTTATTTTTTTAATTCTAAAATTCATCCTTCCCTAACATATTTTTTATTCAAAAAACAAACATCCAGCCGAACCGGTTTGGCTCAGTGGTGGAGCGTTGGTCTGTGGACTGAAAGGTCCCAGGTTCGATCCCGGTCAAGGGCATGTACATGGGTTTATATATATTTTAATATATTTAAAAAAATGAGAGAGAGAGAGCTCTCTCCTTTTTAAAAAAATATATTTTATTGATTTTTTACAGGGAGGAAGGAAGAGAGATAGAGAGCTAGAAACGTTGATGAGAGAGAAACATCGACCAGCTGCCTCCTGCACACCCCGCAACCAATGTACATGCCTCTACCACTGAGCAAAACCGGCTTCGGCAACGTTTCTAGCTCTCTATCCCTCTCTCGTCCTCTCTGTAAAAAAAAATCAATAAAATATATTTTTAAAAAAAGAAGAAGAAGAAGAAGAAGAAGAAGAAAGGCAAGCTGTGTCCCAATAAAACTTTAAAAATAAAACGAAACAGCCGAAACCGGTTTGGCTCAGTGGCAGAGCGTCAGCTTGGGGACTGAAAGGTCCCGGTTTCGATTCCGGTCAAGGGCATGTACCTTGGTTGCGGGCACATCCCCGGTAGGGGGTGTGCAAGAGGCAGCTGGTCGATGTTTCTCTCTCATCGACGTTTCTAGCTCTCTATCTCTCTCCCTTCCTCTCTGTAAAAAAAATCAATAAAATATATATTTTTTAAAAAATCCAAACAAACATAGCTATCGTAATATGTAGACTATCCTTGTGCCCAAAAGTATATTTGCAATTCTTTGAAGCAATTTACTTGATAAGTGGACTTGGAGAGGAAAAACAGCAGATCTCTATGTATTTCTTTTTAAATATACAATATATATATATTATTGATTTTTTTTTTAACAGAGAGGAAGGGAAAGGGATACAGAGTTAGAAACATTGATGAGAGAAACATCCATCAGCTGTCTCCTGCACAACCCCACTGGGGATGGGCCCATAACCAAGGTACATGACCTTGACTGGAATCGAACCTGGGACCCTTCAGTCTGCAGGCTGACGCTCTATCCATTGAGCCAAACCAGTTAGGGTTAGGGCTCTATGTATCTCTAACTTCCGCAGGACTCCGGGATATGAGTTCAAACTAAGTAATTAGGTCTTTGTAGAAGCCACATTAACGGGAAAGAAAATAATGTGTATTGAAAACAATTGTGTATTGAAAGGGGCATGATGATAAATAACAAAGGACTCTACCCTGGAGCTTGTTGATTTTTCTGATAGGAATTTAGCTCTAATCATAGACTACAAGGTTTAGTTAGACAAAGCTACAAGTAATTTGCAATACATTTCCTGCTATCTTAATGCTAATTTCTCCTGTTGTCTAGATTCTTTCATTCTAAAACACAAAGTAGTTGTTTTGATAAAATACTAAAAAGTTCCTGAAGTATAAACAATTTATTAGAGAAAATCAGTGATGTGCTTGCAGGGTAGCTTTTCAACAAAATCCCAAGGTAAACTCATCTGATGTTTTATGCATGGTATTCAGAGAGTGAAAATCACTCCTCATGGGTATTGTACTTAGATGATTTGCACAGGATAGAAAATATCATGGGCTCCTATTTTAGAGTATGCTCACTGTCTGCTAGAGGTGCAACAACACATTTGGCATATTTTTAAATATATAATTTTATTAATGTCAGAGAGGAAGGGAGAGGGAGAGATAGAAACATCCATGATGAAAATCATTCTTCAGCTGCCTTCTTCATCTCCCCTGCCTCCTGCATGCCCTCCACTGGGCTCAGCCTTGCAACCCAAGCATATGCCCAGGGGAATCCAACAACTTTCTGGTTCATAGGTCAACGCTCAACCACCCAGCCGCCCCAGCCCTACTGGCATATAGTTAGCACGGAGGCTATACATGTCTCAAGAAAGCATTTTATTCGTTTTCTTTTCTTTCTTTTTTTAAAAAAAATATATCTTATTGATTTTATACAGAGAGGAAGGGAGAGAGAGAGTCAGAAGCATCGATGAGAGAGAGTCATTGATCAGCTGCCTCTTGCTGGGGATGTGCCCGCAACCAAGGTACATGCCCTTGACCGGAATCGAACCCGGGACCCTTCAGTCCCCAAGCTGACGCTCTATCCATTGAGCCAAACCGGTTTCGGCTTATTAGTTTTCTTTATGTGTGTTGGGATATACAACTCACTCAGTTTTCCCCTTAGTTTCACACCACCCTAAAAACGTAAAAAGAAAATTGCATTAGCTTCCCTCTCTCCCATTCTGCAGCATTGTTTTAGTTAGCGGAGGGAGTTCCTCCCTGAAGTATTAAAGGAAACTTCTATTTATTTTGACTTTCATGAAAAAAGTCCGTTTCATGTCAGGTTTCACTTCCAGGAGTGAATCACTATGGACTTAACCCTGAGGTAACTTTTGAATAAATGGTAAAATTCTCATTCTTTGCCCTCCCTGCCCCCACGAGTCCCCACTCGCAATAGACCCATTTCTAGGTCAAAATGTCCCCCCACACCCTCACCCCCAGTTCAAAATCTTAAAACCCACCCTGGAGCCACCCCCCCAGGAGAGCCCCCCGCGACCGCCCACCTGGGCGGTAGCAGTCGAATCACAGGCTCCTGCCGCTGATGGACGGGGCAGCGCGGTGCCAGGACCGCCGCTGTCCCCCTGGGCGCTGGCCATTGGCTGCGGGGCCCGCGCGGAGCCAATGGGGAGAAGGCGCGGAGCCAATGGGGAGAGGCCCGGAGAGCGCGGGAAAGAGGCCAGTATAAACGGTGCCGCCGGGAGGTTCCTTTTCTTGTTCTTGTCCAGGGAGGCGCCCTCCGTGGGAAGCTCAGCGGGTTTCTCTCATCTCCTCGGTGTCCGAACATGGTGCGGACCAGAGCAGACACCCTCCCGGGCACCTACCGAAAAGGTGAGACAGCCAAGCGGGCTGTGGAGGGCAGGATGTGCCCCTCACAACCCCCCCTAAATCATCCCCCCCACTCCCTGCAGCCGCTGCAGAGGCTGGTGGGGGAGGGGGGCCATGGCCTGGTGTGCCAGCTTACAGACGCTGGGAAGCATTACAGACGCTGGGAAGCAGCGGCGCTCAAACGGGAGGAAGAAGCCCAGGGGGCAGGGGAGGGTTATCCCGCCGTGCTGGGGGGTCGTGGGGCTCTCCGAGAGCTTGCATCTGGGACCTTGGAGCAGGGGGCCCAGTGTCGGAACCTTACTGCCCCCCCACCCCCTGACCCCCTTTAAACGCTCTCCTCTGTCTCTTTCCACAGTGGTGGCTGCTCGAGCCCCCAGGAAGGTGCTTGGTTCCTCCACCTCTGCTGCTAATTTCTCTTCGCCTTCTTCTAGAAAAGGTAAGCAGCGCCCCTCCAAGCGCCTGGAGGAACCCTCTCAAAAGGCGGTCAGACCTGGCACCACAATTCTCCCCCTGGTACCACATCCCTCCTGATCTGCTAGCACCCTTATCCATCGTGTAATTTATTTTCTTGAGATCCTCACAATTTCTTTCTTTTAAAAAAAATATATTTTATTGATTTTTTACAGAGAGGAAGAGAGAGGGATAGAGAGTTAGAAACTCGATGAGAGAGAATCATCGATCAGCTGCCTCTTGAACATCCCCCACTGGGGATGTGTCCGCAACCTAGGTACATACCTTTGACCAGAATCGAACCCGGGACCCTTCAGTCCACAGGCCAACGCTTTATCCACTGAGCCAAACCGGTTTTGGCTCATGCCCCAATTTCTCCCTTGTCCTATGATATAATGAGGGGGTCTTGGCCTCTTGGAGAGTTGGTGTAGAGGAGGGGAAAAGAATCTTAAGCCTTGGGAATTAACACAATTTATCTTCAAAGTTATTTTTTCTGGTTTAGTGTGTTGTTGTTTTAATGTTGACAAATGCCATTTTTAAATATATATTTTATTGATTTTTGTACAGAGTGGAAGGGAGAGAGATAGAGAGTTTGAAACATCAATGAGAGAGAGTCATCGATCAGCTGCCTCTTGCACACCCCCTACTGGGGATATGCCCGCAACCAAGGTACATGCCCTTGACCAGAATCGAACCCGGGACCCTTCAGTCCCCAAGCCGACGCTCTATCCTAGGGGTGTCGAACTCAATCAGAGAAGGGGCCAAAATCTAAAATCCAGCCTAAATCGCGGGCCGAATGGTTTACTGAACAGTCATAAACTGTCATTGTGATGGAAACGCAGCGGAGTGCAGTGATGACAGCGCGGTGCGGGCCACATTGCAAGGCCTGGTGGGACGGATTTGGCCCGCGGGCCTTGTGTTTGACACATGTGCAGTCTATCCATTGAGCCAAACCGGTCCCGGCACAAATAACATTTTAATTTTAAAAATTTAAAATATATTTTTATTGGTTTTAGAAAGAGGAGAGATAGAAACATTGATAAGAGAGAATCATCATTGATTAGCTGCCTCCTGCTCACTATTTACTGAGGAGCCTGCATTTTAATTGATTAATTAAAATTAACTAGAGTCTCGGTGCATGAAATTGGTGCACTGGGGGGGAGGTCCCTCTGCCCAGCTTGTACCCTCGTATTCCGGGACCCCTTGGTCCTTACTGCCTGCCTGCTGGCTGTTCCTTACCACTTGGCTCGCTGCTCCCGCCACCTCCACTGCGCACACCAGCCATTAGCATCCGTCCCTGGTGGCTGTGCACGTCATAGTGACTAGTCGTTTTGCTGTAATGGTTGCTTAGGCTTTTATTATATAGATTTCTATTGATTTCAGTGAGTAAAGGAGAGGAAAGAGAGAAACATCAACGAGAGAATCATTGATCAGCTGCCTCCTGCATATCCCACACTGGAATCAAGTCTGCTGGACATATGCTTTGACCAGGAATCAAACTGTGACCACTTTGTTCATTGGTCAACACTCAACCACTGAGCTATGTCGGCTGGGCTAATTGGTTACCTTTTTTTTTAAGAGAGAAGGGAGACAGAGAAATATGGATGTGAGAGAGAAACATTGCTTGTTTGCCTCCCCTGGTGCCCAGACCAGGGATCTAACCACAACTTAGATTATGTACCCTGACCAGAATTGAACCCACCACCTTTTGGTCTAGGGGAGGACACTCCAATCAACTAAGCCACACCAGCCAGAGCATAATGGCTTTTTCTTGTAAGAGATTATGTAAGCATTCCTTTAGTAGATTAAGAATTAGGATGGCCGAAACCGGTATGGCTCAGTGAATAGAGCGTCGGCCTGCGGACTGAAAGGTCCAGGGTTCGATTCCGGTCAAGGGCATGAATCTGGGTTTCAGGCACATCCTCAGTAGGAGGTGTGCAAGAGGCAACTGATCAATGATTCTCTCTCTTCGATGTTTCTAACTCTATTCCTCTCCTTTCTTCTCTGTAAAAAAAAACAATAAATAAAATATATTAAAAAAAAAAGAATTAGGTTGACAGCTTACAGTACTAATCACATTGTCTTCTTAGTGTAAACATTTTGTTTTCATTTCTGCATGTTTTCCTCCCTCCCCACCCCACACCCTTTTGTTTTTTGGAGTGTGGTGTCTGTGTGTTTCCCAACTTTACAGCTCCTGATGCTGCCTTTGGGTCATAGTAATGAAATAGCTTCACACTGCTCCTGGGCAAGGATAGGTTGAGAAAATACCCAGCCATCTGTTGCCTCATTCCTTTTGGTAGGAAATTAAGTGATAAGGAAGCTCAATTAATTCCACAAGGTCTAGTTAGGAACAAGGAAGCACTATTCAGGACTTCATGTTTGTTTGTTTTTTAACTTCAAAGAAGGGAGAGAGAATATCAATAATGAGAAAGAATAATGGACCAGCTGCCTCCCGCACTCTCCACTCTGGGGACTGAGCCCACAACCCTGGCATGTGCCCTTGACTGGAATCAAACCTGGGACGACCCTTCAATCTGCAGGTCGATCCTCTATCCACTGAGCCAAACCAGTTAGGGCAGGACTTCATGGTGGGGTGTTTTTTTTTTTTTTTTTTTTTTGTGTGTGTGTTTTGTTAACTCATACTTCCGCCTATTCTAAACATTTTATTAGAAAGTATTTACCATTTCAATCCCTTTAGATAAAAAAGGAATAGTAGGTCAAAATTTTTGGAAATAGATGAATTTATGGAGATTATCTTGTACCCTGTATCACTACACTAATTTCCACATAGGGACACATTGGCCCAATGTTGAATAGATAGGCCCTTAATGAACTTGTGTTGGAAAGATGCACCTATTAATGCATTTTATAGATCTCTTTTTAATCAATAATCAACTATAAGAAATTGGTATTTTAAAGATGAGGAAATTTAAGCTCAGGTTACATACTTCAGTAAAGGTCACACATGTAAATCTGCAGAGCTGGATTTGAATTCAATGTGAACTATCTGCTACTGCTATATGCTTTCTAGTAGTGAAAGCATTCTCATTAAGTTTCCTTCAAGAAAGTTATTAACCAAAGGATCACTCTTTTTATTTAAATATATTTTATTGATTTTTTACAGAGAAGAAGGGAGAGAGATAGAGAGTTAGAAACATCGATGAGAGAGAGTCATCGATCAGCTACCTCTTGCACACCCCCCACTAGGGATGTGCCCACAACCAAGGTACATGCCCTTGACCGGAATCGAACCTGGGATCCTCCAGTCCGCAGGCTGACGAAACCGGTTTTGGTACAGAGAGGAAGGGAGAGAGATAGAGAGTTAGAAACATCAATGAGAGAGAGTCATCGATCAGCTGCCTCTTGCACACCCCCTACTGGGGATATGCCCGCAACCAAGGTACATGCCCTTGACCGGAATCGAACCCGGGTCCCTTCAGTCCCCAAGCCGACGCTCTATCCATTGAGCCAAACCGGTCCCGGCAGGATCACTCTTTTTTAAAGGCCATTTGTACTTTTTAAAAAGTAAAAACCATAGAACTTTAGATAGTATATATATATATATATAGGAATACTCTTATCAGGTTTTTTTTTTTTTTAACAGCTACAGTTTGTGACAAATGTGTTTAAAGCAAAGGATATATGTAGTAAACTAAAATTTTGGTCTTCTTAGTATTCTAATCATTACTTTGTAAAAAGGATAGAAATTTTCCCTTTATATTACTGTTTTAAATAATCAGGAATTGGATTTACTCTATGAACTAAAAAGGAGCCAAGAGCTTTGAAAAGTTGAACCTATTTATGTGGAAATGCTCACTGCTATACACTACTTATTTAGCCTTTTATATTTGCTTTAACTAAATCTTATTAAATAAGAATTTATCAGTTTAGCTTTGGCCAGGTAGCTCAGTTGGTTAGAGTATCCTCCTGCTATGCCAAGGTTGCGGGTTCACAGGTCAGGTCATATACAGGAATCAACTAATGAATGCATGGATGGATAGAAGAACAATTCTCTCCCTCTCCTTCTCTCCCTTTCTGTAAAATCAGTCAATAAATAATAAAAAAAATTTAATTGGCAGTTTATGGTACATGTGCTACCTTATATTAGGAAAAAAAGTGTGTCAAACTTTATTAGCATGACAGTACACAAGGCTCTTTGAATAGGTCTTGTAGATAAAATATGAAAAATATTTTCCAGTTGTAAAAATTCCATTAATGCTATTTTTTAGGGCTAAAGGATTTTGATAATAAAGTATTATTATACAATATACTTCAATATTGTATAATGTACTATTAACTGAATACAACTTTATTTTGTCACATTTTCCAGTTCATTTTAAGATTGATGTATTACCATTTAATATCCTTTAGATTTGATGTTAAAAAATTGTTTCCCTGTGAGAAACAGCTATTGTATTCTTAATTCTTATTTAGTTCCATATGTTTATATTTTACAGCTGAAAATAAGTATGCAGGAGGGAATCCAGTTTGTGTGCGCCCAACTCCCAAATGGCAAAAAGGAATTGGAGAATTCTTCAGACTGTCCCCTAAAGATTCTGAAAAAGAGAATCGGATTCCTGAAGAGGCAGGATGCAGTGGTTTAGGAAAAGGAAAGAGAAAGTAAGTTTGTATATTCTGGAATATAAGAAAATATTTATATTCTTGAAAATAAAAGACAGTAGGATGTTGAGTAACTTTTAAGTTTCTCCTTGAGAAGTTAAATATAAACCAAAAGGTTTTTAAAACTTGTGCTGATCTCTTATTAAAAGTCACTCCCAAATTTTAAACATCAATGAAAGGTATTCTGTTTACTCATTCCAGTCACTTAAAGAGTATCAGTTCACATCAAGATGAGTAATTTTTTTATTTTTTATTTTATTGATTTTCCACAAAGAGGAAGGAAAAGGGATAAAGAGCTAGAAATGTCAATAAGAGAAACATTGACCAGCTGCCTTCTGCACACCCACTACTGGGGATGTGCCCACAACCAAGGTACATGCCCTTGACTGGAATTGAACCCGGGACCTTTCAGTCCACAGACGGACGCTCTATCCACTGAGCCAAACTGGTTTTGGCAGTTGAGTGCTATCTTTATTAACTATGAACTTTCTTTAGTTTTAATTTTTATTGTCTGTTTTCTTTTTTTTTTTCTTTAAATATATTGATTTTTTTATAGAGAGCAAGGGAGAGGGATAGACAGCTAGAAACATTGATGAGAGAGAAACATCGATCAGCTGCCTCCTGCACACCTCCCACTAGGAATGTGCCCGCAACCAATATACATGCCCTTGACTGGAATTGAACCTGGGTCCCTTCAGTCCGCAAGCTGACGTTCTATCCACTGAGCCAAATTGGTTTCACCTATTGTCTGTTTTCTATAGTCTTTTAAAAAAAGCAATTTCCATGTTGATTTATCTAATTTGAGTTTCATTAATACTACCCCTTAAAAAAGTATTAGTTCACCGAAACCGGTTTGGCTCAGTGGATAGAGCATCAGCCTGCAGACTGAAAGGTCCCAGGTTCGATTCTGGTCAAGGGCATGTACCTTAGTTGTGGGTACATCCTCAGTAGGGGGTGTGCAAGAGGCAGCTGATTGATGTTTTTCTCTCATCGATGTTTCTAACTCTCTATCTCCCTTTTTCTCTGTTAAAAAAAATCAATAAAATATATTTAAAACAAAACAAAACTATTAGTTCAACCTCCAGAAGAAATATATAACCAATGTAGAAAAGTTGGAAAATATAGAAACCCCATCACTTATAAACAACCAAAACTAACTTCATTGGGTATTTTCTTGACAACTTCTCTATAAATATATAATACTAGAGGCCCATTGCACAAAATTCATGCAAGGGCTTTGGCCCTGGCCCCTACCCCTGCCTGCCACCACCATAGGTGGGGGTCTCTGCCACCTCAGCCTCAGCCCCTGCCTACTGCAGCTTTGTCCAGAAAGAAGGATGTCTGGAAGGATGTCCAGTATAATTAGCATATCACACTTTTATTATAGACTAGAGGCCCGGTGCACGAAATTCGTGCACAGGGGGTGTGTGTGTGTCCCTCAGCCCAGCCTGCACCCTCTCCAACCTAGGACATCCCTCTCACAACCCAGAACCGCTGGCTCCTAACTGCTCACCTGTCTGCCTGCCTGATTGCCCCTAATCACCTCTGCCTGCCAGATCACCCCCTAACCACTCTCTTGCCATCCTGATTGCCCCCTAACTGCCCTCCCCTGCTGGCCTGATCACCCTCTAACTGCTCTACCTTACTGGCCTGATGTGACTCACCCCTAACTGTTTATTCCCCTGCTGTCCTGATTGCCCCTAACTCCCTGCTCCTCTGCAGGCCTGATCACCCCTAACTACCTCTGCCTTGGCCCCTACCACCATGGCTTTTCCAGAAGGAAGTCAGATGGCTGAAAGATGTTCGGTTGACCCAGTCTAAATAGCATATTATCCTTTTATTAGTATAGATAAGAACACTTCAAAACAAGATGGGCATAAAACTGCACACATGTAGAATTCAGTGTGCAAACTTTTTAGGAAGATAACATGCTTTTTAAGCTTTTTTTTTTTCTTTTTAAGCTTTTAAGGGGGCGGAATTAATGCTCATGACAAGTGCTAAGCAAAAATTCTGGATGCAAAAGTACAATCTTTATTGCAAAAGTACCAAAAGTCTTTATAAGGTATACCAAATAATAATAATACTAAATGAAAATATACCAAGTATCAATAGAAATCATTTCTGAGTAAAAACCTCTCTCATACTTACTAAGTGCTACCAATTTTCTTTTTTCTTTTCCTTTTAATATCCCCAAAGCAGCATTTATTTATCCTATGAATTCCAAAACACTTAATTTAGAAGTGTGACATTTCAATAATTAGTCATCTTGATTGACATGGGCTGATACACATGATACAGTTAGGATACACAAAGATAATAGTTAAAGTTATAACAAATAAATCCATGATTCTTAAACAATTTTAACCCTCTCCACCCCCACAAAAAAAAAGTTTCAGGTATCAAAACTTTAGATACTGAAACCTCACGTTAATAGTTTATTATAAAGCTGATGGAAAGGAGCAAGTGTTCTCTCTATATCAGCTTTCCTAACAGTTTTCCATTCAATGAAGAAAGAGGTGGGAGGGGTGAATTCAGTCCACAGGCCTTCGCTCTATCCAATGGAGGCGGGGTTTCCATAACACCAGATGGCTGCACCCACAGTGGAGACTGAGTTCCCTTAAGGAGCCTTAATTAGCAATCAGCAGGGACCTGAGGCTGTGCCCCGCCCTCGGCTCCCGTGGGGCTTGACAGGGGACTTCAGGCCGAGCCCCCTACCCTGGCACCAGGCCAAGGGACTTCAGGCCCTGCCATGGACCAGGCTGGGGGACCTAAGGCTATACCCTATACCCAGCAGGGCTTGATGGGGGTCTTAGGCCGTGCCCCCCTTCTGGGTACCAGGCCAGGAGACCTGAGGTTGCCTCCCCTCTGCCCTGTGGGGCTTGACAAGGGTGGGACCGGCCAGGTGTGGATCTAGCCCAATGGTGGTGGTGGGGAGAGGGGACCCGGGTTTGGTACTTGTGTGATTTTGAGGCACATGTGGATGGGCAGGGACTTGACTCTGGGTCCCTTGCTGCACCCTAGACAAGAGGAAGGTTTTCATATACATTTTACTAATTTTCTTTTATCTCTGATACTTCTATTATAGAGAAAGGGCAAATAGCATATTAAAATATTTCCTCTATTCCCCTTTTAATGTGCATGAATTTTGTGCACAGGGCCACTAGTGGTATAATAAAAATATTTATATTACTCCTTTAGCCTCATTTAAAAAAAAACTTTATATATATATATATATATATATATATATATATATATATATTATTGATTTTTTTACAGAGAGGAAGGGAGAGAGAGAGAGAGCTAGAAACATCGATGAGAGAGAAACATCGACCAGCTGCCTCTTGCACACCCCCTACCAGGGATGTGCCCGCAACCAATGTACATGCCCTTGACCGGAATTGAACCTGGGACCTTTCAGTCCGCAGACCAACGCTCTACCACTGAGCCAAACCGGCTTCGGCTCAAAAAACTTTTTAATTGACTTTTTTAGAGAGAGGAAGAGAGAAGGAAAGAGAGGCAGAGAAACATCAATGTGAAAGTGAAACATTGATTTGCTGCCTCCTAAATGCCCCCTACCAGGGATCAATACCCGCAATCTGGGCATGTGCCCTGATGGGAGGATCAAACTGATATTCATATATATTTCAGAGAGGAAGGGAAAGGGAGAGAGAGATAGAATCATCAATGATGAGAGAGAATTGATTGGCTACGTCCTACATGCCCTGTACTGGGGATCAAGCCCACAAGCTGGGCTTGTACCCAGACTGGGAATGGAACCACGACCTCCTTGTTCATAGGTTGACCTTCAACCACTGAGCTACACCGGCTAGGCCAAACTGGTATTCTTAAAGTGCACAGGTTGATGCCCAACCAACTAAACCACATCAACCAAGGCAAGCCTCATTTTTTTTTTTTTAATATTTTTATTGATTTTTCACAGAGAGGAAGGGAGAGGGATAGAAAGTTAGAAACATCGATGAGAGAGTTGTCTCCTACACAGCCCCTACTGTGGATGTGCCCGCAACCCTTGACTGGAATCGAACCCGGGACCCTTGAGTCCCCAGGCCAACGCTCTATCCACTGAGCCAAACCGGTTTCAGCCAAGCCTCATTTTTTGTTTTGTTTTACAAGCCTCTTTCTTAAATTGGTCTTTGGGAAAGTTGTAATTACCCATTTATTAATAGTAAGTCAATAGATTAACTATTAATAGTAAATAGTAAACTACCAGTTTATTAAAGGACTTCTGCTATTAACTTCCTAGTTCATAATCTGGAATATGATATCTCCTATATAGCTTTATTTTCCCCATAAAGGCAGGATAAACACTAGTTACATGGGAGAGTCAGAATCAAGAAAGACTAGCAGCTACTTAAAACCTTGAACAGAATCATGATACTTAAAGTAAATCAAATCCCTGCAAAAAGGAACTTTGGTTCATGATGGTGTTCATTTGTAAACTACTAAATTTCTAGGAAAATAAAAATAAAAATATCTCTGTAATCTAATAGGTGAGTCAAAGATAATTTCATACAAAGTCAAAATACCTTTGTTTTGCCTTCCTTATTTCACTAGTTCTATGACCATTCAGCTAGCTTACTGGATCAAATTGAAAGCTGATTATTTTAGGATAGATATCACAAATTTTCATCCGCTCTAAAAAAGAAAAATTCTGATTTATGATTACGTGTTTTTTTTTAAAAAATTTTTTTATTGGTTTCAGAGAGAAAGGGAGAGATAGGAACATCAATGATGAGAATCATTGATTGGCTGCCTCCTGCACGCCCCCTAATGGGGATCGAGCCCACAACGTGAGCATGTGCCCTTGACTGGAATCAAAACCTGGGACCTGCCAGACTGCAGGTCAACATTCACTGAGCCAAACCAGTTAGGGCATGATTATGTTTTTGACGTGATCTTTTTTCTGTAAAAAGCATAATGAGTACAAATGGCTTTGAGATAATTAACTTATTTTTCATATTATTTTTTATTTATTTTTATTTTTTTTTTTAATATATTTTTTATTGATTTTATACAGAGAAGAAGGAAGAGAGATAGAGAGTTAGAAACATCGATGAGAGAGAGTCATCAATCAGCTGCCTCTTGCACACCCCCTACTGGGGATATGCCCGCAACCAAGGCACGTGCCCTTGACCCGAATCGAACCCGGGTCCCTTCAGTCCCCAAGCCGACGGTCTATCCATTGAGCCAAACCGGTCCTGGCTATTTTTCATATTTTTAGATGCCAGCTTAAACAATTGTGTTTTTTTTCTAATTAGGTAATATATTCATATTGTTCAAAAGGATATACAGTCAAATATGACAACTTTGCTCCAATGGATTGTAATTTTTTATTTTTTTTTTTGCTTTTTACTATCACAAAGTTCTTGCTGAAAGATTTTATTCCACTTTTATCATCCACTTAACATGTTGAAATAAGATGCTAAAGAAACAGATTTCGCCAAGACCGGTTTGGCTCAATGGATAGAGCGTCGGCTTGGGGACTGAAAGGTCCCGTGTTCAATTCCGGTCAAGGGCATGTACCTTGGTTGAGGGCATATCCGCAGTAGGGGGTGTGCAAGAGGCAGCTGGTCGATGACTCTCTCATCGATGTTTCTAGTTCTCTGTCTCTCTCCCTCTCTGTACAAAATCAATAAAATATTAGGTCTAGTAATAATTAATGTCGTTTTCTAATACTTTTTTAAATCGAATTTATTTAAACAATACAACAAAATTTAATCAACAATATAGTTGCCGTTGTTTTCTACTACTTGTGCCCAACGCTCAGGAAGCATTTTAATCCCTCTGTTGTAAAATTCTGGTGATTTTGATGCAAAAAATTCGGTCAATGCATTTTTGAGGCATTCTTCATTATTAAATTTTTTTCCAAGAAGAAAGTTTTGCAAAGAACGAGACAAATGGTAATTGGAAGGGGCAATATCAGGAGAATATGCAGGTTGAGGGAGAACTTCCCATTCCAACTGGCGCAGTTTTTCAGCAGTGATTCTTGCAGTATGCGGTCCTGCATTATCGTGGTGAAGAATTACGCCCTTCCGATTAATCAGCGCGGGTTCTTTTTCTCTTAAAGCTTGGGCTAACCTTTCCAATTGGGCACTATACACTGCACTTGTAATGGTTTGGTTAGATGGTAAAAGTTCATAATGAAGAATTCCTTTAAAATTCCACCAAACACACAACATCACTTTTTTCGCATGCAAGTCAGGTTTTGGCGTGGGCTGCGGAGCCTCATTTTTGTCCAACCATTGAGGCCGCCTTTTCAAATTAACATACAGCACCCATTCTTCATCTTTGGTAACAATTTGCTCTAAAAGCGGCAAACGGTTTTGACGAGAGAGGAGCGAACTGCAAATTGTGACTCTTTGATTACGGTTGTTGTCGGTCAACTCATGAGGAACCCATTTTCCAAACTTTTGGACTTTGCCAAGTGCACGCAATTGATTGGAAATTGTTTTTTGTGAACAATTTAAAGTTGTCGCAAGCTCTTGTTGGGTAATTAGAGTATTTTGCACCAAAAGAGCTTGAAGAGCTTCTTGATCAAAATTGGACACATGGCCTCGACCACTCTTGTCATCTAACGAAAAATTTCCCTCGCGAAATTTCTCAAACCAACGCTGGCATTTTCTGGCGCTAACTGCATCTTGACCAAGAGCACTACAGATGTTTTTTGCAGCCTCACTTGCTTTTCTTCCTAATTGGAACTCGTAAAGCATGCAGTGCCGAATATGCTCTTCATCCGCCATCTTTTTAGCCCTAGTTTTGCAACAAAAACCAAACCAAACACAAACTTTTTCAAGCAAAACTTGTTAATTGCACTTCACACGTTCTGTAGATACCACGTGTTTGAAGGTTATGTCAATACAAGTCAACACCAAGCAAGATTTTAAACAAATGTTTAAAAACGACATTAATTTTTACTAGACCCGATATATTAAACATCCTGGACTTCAAAAAAATAAAAATAAAAATAAAAATAAATGAAACAGATTTCTTTCTTTTATAAAAATGGTAACATATTCTAAAGAAGAAACACTGATTTTATAAATTGACAAAATAAATTGTTAAACATTTTGTTGCTCTAGCACAGGGCTGGGGAACCTTTTTTCTGCCAAGGGCCATTTGGATATTTATAACCTAATTTGAAGGCCATACAAAATTATCAACCTATCCTGCTATATTTGGTTAAACATTTAATTAACTCACCCCTAAAGTCGATTGCTAGGAATTTGTAGGTGTTTGTCAATAAATGGTTTTATTTTTCTCTCATTTCCAGTCACTTGACCAGACCCACTGCACTGTTAATGTTCCTGATTTATATATTTGTGACTATTTAAAAAAAAAAAGTTGATACTGACTATTGAAGTTCTCTTTCTTTCCACAGAGTACATCCTTTGCCACCTGATGACACAGATGACGAAAAAGAATAGAACTTTCTTATTCATCCTTGTCTAATGTCTCCTGTTTACTCTGGTATTCAAGGATGTAAATTTGCATAAATGTATTTGTTCCAGTTAGCTTTGTTGAGTAGGCTTTTAATTAAAAATGAGGGTTACATATAGTTATTCAAAAGCAACTAGTTATGATATTGGAAGATTTACGAGATAATTATGGTTACTTCTTAATATTCAATCTAATGCAATATTTGGTTTATTTTACCTGTTATTAAATTTTTTATTCTTGCTAAAAAGAAATCACTTCATGTTGTAAACAACAAATCTGCTGTTTTTGAGATTTGCTTAGATTTTTGTACTGCTACCATTTTTATTGGCATTAGATTTTTTGGGATGGTGCCATATTTTCGTTCCTTTTATTTGATTTAAAGAGCAGAGTTGGATTTGTACACATTAAAAAAAATCAGTATTAATTAAACCACACCTGTATCCGTTTTAAGACTGGGAGCCAATGTTGAAAAAAATTTTGTGGCAATCTGTGTTCTCCATAGGAAAAAAGTAAGGGCAATTTGATCCTGAGAGTTTCGGTCAGGAAGATTTCATAGACTACATTAAAAGAGAAGAATTTTCTTAGAATGTGCATTTGATTTGGTATCATAAAATAGTGCTCTCTGGAAATCAATAAATCATGAAAGACATGCCATAAATCCAGAGCTATGTCTAAAGTTCTTAGAGCTACCTTTATATTTTTCAAGATAACAGGGTTATAATTGAAGAGGTGGGTGTAATATAACTTAGTAACTAATTCTTGCTTCCTCATCACTTTTTTTTTTTTTGCTGACATCTGTTGTCAAAATTAACCATGTTTTAACAGATAAGTTTTTCTGAAGTTTGTTTTTAATAAATGAATACTTACTTTCACAAGAAATTATATGCATTTGTGTGCTTCGTAAGAGTCTACTAGATATTTCTGTTTTATTTCTTCCAAATACAAATCTGTGCATTGTTCTGATTTTATCCCCTTCCACACTGAGTCTTGATGACTCTTGATTACATTTTTTTTTGTCTTAGAGGTTGATATTAAACAGAATGTTACTGAATTTCAAGTAGAATTTTATTTTAAGTACTTCCTTGATAATTAGGCTTCTTTTTAAGAGAAGTTCAAATCAACTCTTATTAAAGTCAAGTATTGATGGGTCTGAAACCTGATTTGTTATTTTTCACTGATGGAGAAACTTTTTGGTGGTGTGTCTCATGAAGTATAATTTTGATAGTAAAATTTTTTTGATCTAATGAAACTACAGTCTCTTCAAATATACATTTGATGATGTCTCTCTTTTATTAGGCAGAGGTTTCCATGTGGAAGGAAGAGGTTTCCATGTACTGTTTTTCTGTCAAAGCTTTTTGAAAATTTAGATTGGCAAATTAGCCTCTTCTGAAAACATAAGCGAAATATGAATTTCCCTGTTTCCATTGAAATTGGTTGGCAACTATTTGTATTTTGTTTTGTTTTTATTATTGATTTTTAGAGACATATTTGAGAGCTTAATATTTAAGGATCAATTGCCTCCTGCACTCCCCCTACCTGGTGGATAAAGCCCGTAACCCGGGCATATGCTCTGACTGGGAATTAAATTAGTAACTTCTCAGTGCATGGGGCATTGCTCAACATCTGAGCCACACTGGCCAGGGCTGCAACTCTTTTTTTTTTAATTTTATTGATTCTTTTTACAGACAGGAAGGGAGAGGGATAGAGAGCCAGAAACATCGATGAGAAAGAAACATCGACCAGCTGCTTCCTGCACACCCCCTACAGGGCATGTGCCCGCAACCAATGTACATGCCCTTGTCCAGAATCGAACCTGGGACCTTTCAGTCCGCAGACCGAGGCTCTATCCACTGAGCCAAACCAGTTTCGGCTGCAACTCTTTTTTTTTTTTTTTTTAAATATATTTTATTGATTTTTTACAGAGAGGAAGAGAGAGGGATAGAGAGTTAGAAACATCTATGAGAGAATCATCGATCAGCTGCCTCCTGCACACCCTCCACCGGGGATGTGCCCGCAACCAAGGTACATGCCCTTGACCGGAATCAAACCCGGGACCTTTCAGTCCGCAGGCTGACGCTCTATCTATTGAGCCAAACCGGTTTCGGCGTCGGCTGCAACTCCTAGTTGTGAAAAACATCATGAGTTAAAATTTTGAATTTTTGTAACTTCCCTCTTCCTATTCTCCGCCCCCCCTTCCTATTCTTGGTTCTGCCTTTGATATAACACAGAACAAGTTATTCCTTCCACATGGAGACCTTCAAGTCCTTACAGAAAGCTGTTACATCTCTAGCTTTCTCTTCCTAAGGCTAAACATTCTATTGTTTATGTCACATATATCCTAAGTTAGTTTCTCTAAGTCCCTTGTGTAAGGGGCTATGTCTTGTGTTATATATTGCTTTGGCACATAAATAATAAATTTGGCTACATTTCTTGTACCTGATCCAAGTAGTCATTAGTTATTAGACTTTAGTTTTTATATCTTTTAAAAATATATATATTTATTTATTTTTTTACTGAGGAAGGGAGAGGGAGAGAGAGCCAGAAACATTGATGGGAAAGAAACATCAGTTAGCTGCCTCCTGCACACTCCCTACTGGGGATGTGCCCGCAACCAAGGTAAATGCCCTGGACCGGAATCGAACCTGGGACCCTTCATTCTGCAGGCTGATGCTCTATCCACTGAGCCAAACCGGCTAGGGCTGTTTTTGTATCTTTTATATTTGGAGATGCTAATGGAACTCTAAGAATATTTAAATATTAATTGTTGCATAACAGAGTTATAGTTTCCAAAAATAAACATTAGATACCCTAATTCTTTCTTAAATGATTACAAAGAGCAATAAAAAAAAAAATGGGGGGGGGGAAGCTCTTAAGAACTGAGTAAAGCTTGGAAGTCATATATAAAGGATAAATGTACTATACTGACTTCGAAGGTTATTTGAGATCTAGCCTAGATCTGAAAGCACTGTCTTAATTATGATTCATATTAAGAATACAGACTTTTGTCCTAGCCAGTTTGGCTCAGTGGATAGAGCCTCCGTCTGTGGACTGAAGAGTTCTGGGTTTGATTCCAGTCAAGGGCACATTCCCGGGTTGTGGGCCCAATCCCCAGTAGGGGGCATGCGAGAGACAGCCAGTTGATTCTCTCATCATTAATGTTTCTATCTCTCCCTCTCCTTTCCTCTCTGAAATCAATACAAATATAAAAAGGAAAGAAAAAAAGAATATGGACTCCAATAGTACTGCTCACAAAATCCTGTAAGTGTAAACACACATAACTAATTTTAGGTGTGGGTTGTGTTCTTTATCTTTAGAGGTCTCTAAACAATGACTACACTGAAAATGATAGAGGTCATGTGACTATTTATGAGTCAAGCCAGTTATATACCTACTAGAGGCCTGGTGCACAAAATTCATGCACTGGGTATTGGGGGGTGACTCTTAGCCCAGCCTGCACCCTCTCCAATCTGGGATATTCCTTCCACAATCTGAGACTGCTAGCTCCCAACCACTCACCTGCCTGCCTGCCTGATCATCCCCTCACTACTCCTCTGCCAGCCTGATCAATGCCTAACTGCTCCCCTGCCGGCCTTATTGCCCGCAACTGCCCTCCCCTGTTGGGCTGGTCACCCCTAACTGCCCTCCCCTGCCAGCCATCTGTGGCGGCCATCTTGTGACCATATGGGTGTGGCTATCTTGTGCGAAGGTATGATAGTCAATTTGCATCTTACCTCTTTATTATATAGGATGAAAAAGTGACTACTAATAAAACTGTAGGAAGAGAGGATCTAAATAAATACTGTCATTTGATCAGGCAATGGGAAAAAATGGATGTTGCATAGGAATTTTCATTTCTATATTGTCCTAAACTACCACATTTAATCTTTATTAATTGTACCCAATAAAACATTTCTATAGAACACATTTGCCATGTGTTTAAAAATTTTTATAGACATGTAATTCACTGTAGTTATATAGATAAGTCATTGTTCATTGGGCTCATAATCTTACTTTTTTAATTTCATTTTTAAAAATAAATCTATTGGCAATCAAAATATCAAGTTCTATTTTGTCATGGTAATTGTTTATCACTTGTCACAGCCAGGTTTTTTAAAAACAATTACTGGATGTCCTCAGATTCTATTTGAAGTGTGTGTGTGTGTGTGTGTGTGTGTGTGTGTACTTACAAATGTATGCATGTCCATGGGAAAGGTTGTAATGTTTTAGATTTATTAAACAACCTACTACTGACATTTTATTTTTTATTTTTTGTTAATCCTCACCTGAAGATATTTTTCCCATTGATTTTTAGAGAGAGTGGATGGGAGAGGGAGATACACTCACAGAGAAACTTCCATGTGAGAGAAACACATGGATTGGTTGCTTCCTGAGAGCTTGCAACTGCAGTACATACCCTTTGACCTGAATGGAACCCGGATCCTTTAGTCTGAAGGCGGACACTCTATCCACTGAGCCAAACCGGTGAGGGTGAAAGACAAAACTTACCATTCCTATGAGGGGCTGTCAAAGGAGAATGAAGTGCATGAGAAAACTTTCATATGTTGAAGATTTTAAAAGGCCATTTGAAACACAACTAAAAATCCACAAGAGGGAGATGCTTGCTAAACTGGTAGAAAAGAGAATTCCCACAAGGGAAGAGAAAGGAGAGAGAGAGAGAGAGAGAGAGAGAGAGAGAGAGAGAGAGAGAGAGAGAGAGAGAGAGAGAGAGAGAGAGAGAGAGGGAGAGAGAGAGAGAGGGAGAAGAGGCCAATGGGCTCAGGGTGGGAGGAAGCAGGTGTTCATACCGTGTTTCCCCGAAAATAAAACATCTTCCTAAAATAAGACCTACTTACTGGTTTCCTTCTGAGTGAAATATAAGGCATCCCCCCGAAAATAAGGCCACCCCTAGGCTCTGTCTCAGAATGAAAATTAATTTACCGTAAACTGGTCACTAGGGCCGCCCCGACTGGCGTCTAGCAACCAGTGACTTTATGCGGAGTCCTGATGTCACTGCTGTGTGGAGGTGGAGCGGAGGTCGGAGTGAGCAGACTGGACACGGTGAAGGTGGTGAGTGCTTGTCTGTCTCTGGTGACACTACCTGATGCTCGCGGCCGCCCTCATGATGACTGAAGGTTCTCAGTCAGTGGCAGACCCTGCTCCAGCCCAGATCCAGGCTCCAGCAAACCCAGTGACAGTCCCCAGACAGGCTCCAAGGGGTAAATGTCTGATAAAGGGGTAAGGGGGATGTCTGGTGAAGGTGTTCAGTGGCTCAGGGATGGGGGGATGGGGATCACTTAAAATGACACAGGAGGATCAGAGGGGGCAATCAAAATGACAAGAGGTTCAAAAGGGGTTACTAAAATGGTAATCCCCCCTCTGATTCTCCTGTGCCATTTTGATTCCCCCCTCTGATCCCCCCTGTGTCATTTTAAGTGATCCCCCTCCCCCACCTTGATACTCCAATTCATTTTTTCACCCCTAGAAATGAGCGCAAAAAGAAAAAGCTACTCCGTGGAGTACAAGAAAGGAATCGTGGAAGACTCTTGGGGCCAAAATCTTACTGCTTTCTGCAAAGAGAAGATGTTGAGTATCTGATTGGTCCGAAAATGGCGAGCAGAGTATGGTAACCTCATTAAACAAGTGGACAAGGGAAATGCTAAAAAGTGCAAGTGTGGATCAGGTCAGCAACCATTATTTTCCGAGCTGGAAGACCTGATCTGTGAATGGGTTGTTGACAGGAGAGCAGAGGCTTTGGTTGTGAATAGGGCTCAGATTCAAGAATTTGCCCTTGCAATTGCACCACAGTTTGACATAGCCTCCGAAGACTTCAAAGCATCACAACACTGGCTGGATAATTTCATTCAGCGAAGTGAACTGTCTTTAAGAAGATCTACAACATTGTTTAGGTTGGAAGATACTCAAGTTATTAAGCGAGCACTTGCATTAAGTCCTTTATTGATGTTGCTGACTTCTCTAAATACAATCTTTCCAACATGATTGCTATGGATGAAACTGCAGTGTTTATGGGCCAATCATCTCAAACAACAATTGAACAGCGGGGTGCCTCCTTAGTGTACATTCCCTCCACTGCTTACGAAAGTGCACGTTTCCTGTATTTTGGCAATTCATCTGGATGGCACTAAAATCTCACCTTTAATCATTTCTAAGGGCAAGAAGGAAAAGATTGAACTTGTTTTGGGCATTTTTATTCTTGAAACTGAAAAAGCCTGGGCCAC